AATGCCAACATTTATGATGAAGACACCCGGTTACTCAACAAAGTCGCAATTCAATGTGCTTTGCATTCTCTTATCTCGGTTTACCGTTTAACACAAAAGTGAACATGGGGCTCATGCTCACTCCTGATTACTAAGCACTAAGACAACGGAGTAAAATTTTTTTTTTTTAACAAACTAAACAGAATGGTGTCATTAATTAGATCTTTGTCTTAGTCATCCTCCTCTTACTAGGCTTCCTAGAATTTCACCTCAAAGGAGTCTCTAGGTCAATTCTAGAAACCTAAGCTCTCACAGTGATCTAGCCATCAATAAGCTCTCAGGAAGTAACACTACGAATGTTGTGGAAGGAGTTGCATAGAGAATTGCATTCAAAAGTCAGGTTCTATGGGTTTTCACTTAGATCCAATTCAAGTTAATCTATCACAAAAGCATGCCTTAACTTAGCCTACCTCATCATTGAAGACCTACAACCCTTCACACCACAAAAGTTGACAAAAAGAGGCTCTCCCTAAACAAAAAACAACACAAAACACACCAAAAATAATAAAATTGAAATCAACAGTGTCCCCACTGTTGTCGACTCACAGCCAAAAAGAAACATATTGTACTCAAAACCGTAAAAAATTGCAAGGAAAATACACAAAACTGAATGGAAATGGGGTAAGCTTAAAGAAACTTCCCTGAGGAGTCAAAGGGCAGCGTTCATCCTCTCCACTTCCAGTTGGCAATGCTTCTAAGAGTGGAACATCGAGTGGATGGCTCCGGTGCTTTTGCCTTTCCCTTGTTCTTGCCGGTGCGCGGGGCAACAACCTTAGCTTCTTGAGGCTCTTGGGGAATAGAACTTGAAGGGGCTGCCTCATTCACAGTCTCATCTGCAACTTCAGCTTCATGGTTCACAAAGATGGTGTGGGAATTCTAGAAACGAGTAAAATTTGTTGGAATTAGCACGATAATGTTTTTGTAGGGCCAAATCCCTATGTTGCTTGTATTGCCAGAAATCCCTCATCATCTGAAGGGATTCGTATTGTATAACCTCCATTTGTGACACTCCCTACTCCAAGTGAGTGAAACTGGCTACTAGATCCGCCAAGGGCTCAGTAGACATGGTGGGGTGTGGAGCCTCCAGTGCAAGAGCATCAACATCCTCCTCTGCAGGTTGACTATTTGCTTGAATCAATTAGAATTTCTACTTAACGGAAATTATTTGAAATTTATATTGTGTCTGTATCTCTGTTCCACGTAATCTCATTATGCGAAATACACTCATGCAATATCTCGCATATTAACTTGCAGATAACACCGTTTCATTCTGAATGAGAATGACATATAGTAATAATGTTTTAATTAAAGATTCTGAACTTTAATTAAATTAATTACGGACATCATTTTTATTATTATCTTTAACCATTATTCTCTCGCATATAACACTTATATATAATGTTTAAGGTCACATAAATAATCATGTAATTTTCATTGATATTCATAAAATATTCATAAATATATGCACATAAAATAATGAATAAACTCTTTTATTAAATAAATAATAAATATCATATTACATCTCATGCTTCTAAGATATCATTCCCAACAATCACATTATACATAATACTTATTTAATATCCTTCTATATTAATGACGTGGATAATATTATTTCATTATTAATGTGAATGACATGTAGTAGTAATGTTTTAATTAAAAATTTTGTAACTTTAATTAAATTCATTACTAATATTATTTTAATTATTAATTTTAAATATTATCCTCTCGTATATAACACTTATAAATAATATTTAAGTTCACATCAATAATCACAAAATTTTTAATAATATTTATAAAGTATTCAATAATACATGCACATGAATAATAAATAAACTTTTTTATTTATTAAAAATAAATATTCTTATTATATTTTATGCTTTAAAGACATCATTACTAACAAACTTCCCTCCCAAACTCAAGAGATCTCCGATGGAGGGCTTGGACGTGGGCCAACAAGGACGTATAGCCGAAGTTGACTTCCTCTTCGGGTGAGAGAGGGGAAGAGAGAGAGGAAAAGGAGGAGATTGAAAAGAAACGCTACATCAGATGAGGGCACCTTAGTCCATACAGGTTCTTTTTAAAAAAAAAAAAAAAATTGTTGTATCAAAAATTGAGAGAGTTTCTCTCTCTTGCAAAAATCGATCCATGGTGAAAACTTGTGTTATTCTTCCTAAATATCTCTAAATGTTAGAAAGTTACGTTGTAATTAAACCATTACAGACAGAAAGTTAGTTAAAATGAAACTATTGTTACGTTTTTCACATCAGAAGTTACTTTAAAGGGAACAAATATATGGAAGATTACCAACTTGCCCCTCAAAATAAGACAATTTTACAAGAACAATAAGTCAAATGACGACAGTACTTGCTTGCTACAACCGGTTGAAAGCTTTAAAAAAAAAAATGGTTAAAAATTCATTAGCATTCAACCAACACCCATCACTTACCACATCGGGACTGGACCATCTAGCCGGCTGGATGGTATCGGACTTATATATATATATATATAAATATATATATATATATATAAACTCTCTGATCAATACTTAAAAAGTGTTTGATCAAAATGATTGTTGTATAATTATGTATAAATTGTATATATTTATATGTAAATCGTATTTATTTACATGTAAAATTATGTATATTAAGTTATAAGAAACAACAATATATTAATCCTCAAAAATGTATTTTTTATAATAATTAATGAATACATAGAATAAAAATATGTAGATTAATTGATTTGTTATATTTCATATTAAATATACACAATTTTATATGAAAATATACACAATTTACATGTAAATATACATAATTTATGTAAAATTATACATCTACCGTTTCGATTAGCCACTTTTTAAGTGCTTGATGGAAGACAATTCATATATATATATATATATATATATATAACAACAATTTTAAAGAATAAAAATAAAAAATTTAAAATAACAAACGTGAATCAGCCTTTGTAAATGTGTAGTTAAAAAAGCGTGATCCGATCTTACAATACTAAAAGGTAATTTGGGATCAGGAGAATATTGCATCAAAAGCTGAATACTGCTAGAAACAAGGGACATGTAGGGCAGTTTGGTTGTGCTTTATATTTTTAAAAAATTATTGTTAAAGTCTCGTTCACTTCACTTTTAGAATTTGAGTTTTGCTACAGTAAAAAATTCTAAAAAATAATCACATTTAATTTTTTTGTTACAGTAAAAAACTCTCACATATAGTCTAATCTGAACTCTCTTTTCCAACAGCAAAGGCGTTCATCAGCGCCTTTGAATCACCTTGATCCAATTCTTCACATACATAAATTAAAAAAAAAAATTAAGGGTGCATTTAGAATTAATTTTTATTTATTTTTAAAAATATTTTTCATGTTTTTTGAGGTACAAAAATGAAAATGATATGTAAATTGTGTTTGTTTAGTAAATATTTTAAAAATAAAAATGAAAATAAAAAATAATAAAAATAATTTTTGTGAAGAAATTAAAAAATAATTGAGAATAATTTTTCCTTTTCTGTTTTCATTTTCTACTCACTACAATAATAATATTAATAGATAACGGTAGTTAATTCTAAAAAGATTAAGGGTTTGTTCTTTTAGAGTAAAACTCAAATTATAATTTCAATTCAAATTATAATTTAAATTTAACTCAAGATCTACACTCAAGTCACTATTAGGGGTGTAAATCGGCCGGGTAGGGTAGGGTTGAGCCGAAAAATTGAGCCTACCCGACCAGTGCGGGTTGAGAAAATTTTGGGCTGCGACACTCTCTTAAGTCTATAAACCCACAACCTTTCGAGTGACCTCGGGTAGGGTCGGGTTACTCGGATTGGTGAAAACTAATTTTAATCTATGATTTCATCAATTTTAATCTAAAAGGCTCTTATATGCAACTAAATGATAAAATACTATTGTAGTAAATGAACAATAAATGATATATGCAAATACTATTGTAGTAAGTAATTACGCAACAAAATACAGCATAATAAATATAAAGACTAATAACTTATACTGGCCGAAAATACTTTGTATCTTCTCCCCAAATATAAGCATGGCCGAACCTTTCCAATTATCACAATATGCATAAAGTAAGAGTGATCTCAATGACCACATGATCACTTTTTAGTCAATTTATCTGTGTTTGTTACGAAAGAAATCATTATCAAACAGAACATGTCTTTCCTTCAAGAGGGGGTCTAAATGCAAGGTGAACAATTAAAACACTCACTTTGAAATCAAACACTTTCAATATAAATAAAGAATGTCATAATTCAACAACTATGGCATACAAGCATTTTTTACACAAACCGTGAATCCAAAACATAAATAAGTTAACAGTTTAAAAGCATAAAGTCCATAAACTTATGAAAGTAAGAATTTGAAGTGTTGGACATTGTTTTACCTACTTTGAACATGTTCAGCTGGGTAGGGTTATCTCGGGTTCATGTAACCTCATCCCGCGCCCCTACCCGCGCAGTGCGGGTTACGCATAATTAAAACTGAAAATTAAATAAAAAATTGAAAACTCGTGATTTTCGAGTAGGGTCGGCTCGGCTCGGCCAGGTTCGTCGGGTTCGGAGTGATTTTTTACAGCCCTAGTCACTATAACTCAAAAATACAACTGAACAAATTATTGTCTCATTCACTTCGCGAATTCGAGTTTTCAATTCGAGTTGAGATATGACATTTTCTAAGAGCTTTTCACTACAGCAGAAAAAGTTAGATGTGACATTTTATAAGAGCTTTTTACTGTAAAAACCTAAAACTGAAAACTCGAATCGATGAAATTAATCAGGCTTATAAAACTGGGGTTAATGACTTAAGGTTAAGTGATTATTTTAGACCATGGTTAAAAAAAAAAAATGCACTGTTGTCTTTGCCATGTCTTTCTTTTCATTTTATTGTTTGTTTTATTATTATTTCATTTCTTTTTTTTTTTTTTTTTTTTGCTGGAGCATTTTCTCAGCCGAGTCTCTCTCTGCTCAGAGTTCGTATTTTCTCTCCACCCAAACAGAAAATTTGTTTCTCTCTCAAGCTATATCTCTCTCTCCTCCTTCCTATCAGAATGTCACTACGATGATCTATAGAGGAAAACGACGATCTGAAGCGAGATTTGAAGATCTCACTCTTACTGTCGGAATTTCAAATCCTCTTTCTAGCCCTAGATCTCTCTCTACAAGAATAACAAGGGCATCAATCAGATCAACAATGGCGCCAAGCAACTGCAGGAGGCAATTTGAGGTTTGAAGAGCGATCTCACTAGCTAGAATCCCTATTCCCTATGTACTGTATTCATCGGCATCGCCGTCAATTTGTCGCCATGGTCACAAATTCATCTTAAGTTTGTGATGCAGATTCGAAGAGGTAGTTAACAATCTAAATCTCAATCTCTGTTTGCCGACTCCGATTCCCGCGCCGCCGCCGACGAATCTCGTAACTGCGGCCACCGATTCTCGCGCCGCCACCGCCGATTGGTTGTTGATTCTGAAGTTTTAAAGTTCGGTGACCATGTCCTTTTATCCCATAGCTTTTTCAAACCTTTCTTTATAGATATATCCTTGCTTAACTATTGACTTGAGTCTCCGTTGATTTGCATGTGTGCTAGAAGAGTTTTTCAGCTTAGCTTCTAGATTGTGTCAATTCGTTGCCGACAACCTGAGGAGATTTGGAGATTTTTCATCATCAGTAATCTCTTGAGATTTTTCATCATCAGTACTCTCTTTCTCTCTCTATGGCTCATCAACTTTGCTCTTAATTTCTTATTGGTATGGAGAATGAAAACTGTTTTTTTTTTTTTTTTTTTTTTTTTTTTCCTTCTTCTTTCAAATAATACTTAGTTCTGTAATATGTACAAAATTATGCTTATCAACTTTGCTTTTTTTTTTTTTTGTGTGAGCTTGATTTGGATTTTGAGGACTTGATAGAAGGTGAAAAATGATTTCTCATTGTTTTTTATGATAGTAGTTAAATCTGTCTTGGAGAAAATTAGCAATTCATGTAGGTTTTGTGTGGAATTTGGCTGGCATGATCTTCTAGGTGTTTGTTAAAAGGTGTAAGAGAGTTTATTGGTAATTGTAATGATACATTGAGGTTATGCTAATGTGTTTGTCTACTTAATGAAACTGAGAGTGAATTCTCTGTAAGGCCTTTTATTTTGGTTGATTTATTGTTGATGTTCAATAGTTACTTCTTTCTTGCTTGCAAGTTTTGATATTTTGCAGATTGTTGGGCATTGAGAAAAGGAATAATACTAGTGATACTCGTCTTTACTATGATTTTTTTGGTATTGATTAGGCAAGTTTCTGGCTTAGGCAATGTAGTGTAGTGGAATATTTGGATATTCTTATAGAGAAGAGTTTCATATTTTGATTAGGCTTTGGTGGTTATGGAATCTGTTCTGAGATTCAGAATTTTGGTATGTCAGTATGACCTGTTATACTTGTTTTGAATGAATAATAATCCTATACTAACCCTGTTCAGTATTAACATGTAGGATTTTAGTGAGGAACAAAAGAAAGACACGGAAAGAATAAAGATCGCCATCGACTCTTGAGAATAGGATTTGCTGTTTGATTAGAAGGATTAGTGAGTTTCCTTTACTTTTTATATAGATGCTTGTACTTTTTGGATTAGTATCATGCTTTGTAAAAAAATTAAATAGTTGCTCTTTATTCCCTCTCTAAACTGGTGTGACAGCAATACATAATTTAAGCGAATATATTATTGAGTGAGCTGGCTTTGGAAATGGTAGCTTTTGCATGGAAATGCCACTTATAATGTATTGAAATCATGATGGTTGGTTGTGGGAATGTATTCACAAAAATTACAATACTTATTTTTGTCTGCCTCTTTCTTGTTTTTATCCTACTTAGTTACTATTTGAGCTACTCAGCAACAACTGAAGGAGGTCAATGTTGGTGGCTTTTTTATTGGATTTTGTATCACTTGTGAAAGAAGGGACTAATTGACAAAAAGGAAAATATGGTACTTACTACTATTAATAAGGAACTAGTTGCACAGTGTTATATCAGTTTATTACATATTGACTAAACTAACATGTTCTGATTCAAAAGGTGTAGAAGCAGAGAAGAAAGAAGAAATCCACCAACATGTTATGGAAAAATTGAGCAAGGACCATGGTGAGAATTTGTGACTGATAGACTTTTCAAAAGAAACTTTGGTATGTAAAAAGCACCATTTTGTGCTGGTTTTGAATGAATAGTGATTCTATACTAACACTGCTGAGTATAAACATTGTAGTTCTCATCAACTCTCTGGAAAGGACATGTTGTTTTACTAGAAGAATTGGTGAGTTTCCTTTATATTTGAAATTTCTGTAAATTTTATAGTTATGTTTGTTTTTTAGCGGCAATTGTTGATTTTATTTTTTATTTTTTTTAACCCTTCTCAATTCGAGAAGACTTTAGTCTCCTAATCATTCTCTACGTCTATTGTTTTTAGGACCCTTGCCAACTAACGAACGTGGACTGCCTAACGAAGAAGGTACGCCATGTAGATATTTGTTTAATTAGTTGTCCTATTTGTAGTCTTGTATTTTATTAACCTATGCTTAGTAATGAAGAGTTTAGCTGCGTTATCCTAATTTTGTTTTATGTTTTAATCGTATGATTTGTGCTTGGTTTTGAGGTATTATGTAATTTTACCTTAGTTTATATGTTATACAACTATTGTACTTATAATATCTATACAGTTGAATGAAAAGTATCCTTGATGAAATTTCATCATTAGTTACCGTGGTTTTTGTTTAAAGTCTCCTTTTCTTATAATTGTTGTATTTGTAGCATATTATGTCTTTTATTTTCTACTCTTTTTTTGTATTATGGAGCAAGATTATCTTATTATGTTCATCATATTTGCAGTTAAGTGAAAAGGAGACATACCCAAACAGAACTTGATGAGGGGCAATCTGAGAAGGCTGATTGTATTTAAGATTTCTTTTAGATCTAGTATTTATTTTGATGAACATGGTGACTTTTCATTTGTATACATTAATATCAGGATTTTTTTTTAAATAATATTAGCATGCTTGATCATGGTTAAATCAAGGTTTCCATTTATATTGTTTTTTAATATTTTTTTAGTAGTGGTTTTCTCACTCAAAATATGGTATTGATTCACAAAAAATTAAAATTTTAAACTTTGAAATGACAACGGTTTTTTAATTTAGAAACCGTTGTCTTATTATTATCCGTTGTCTTTTCACTTAACTTTTAACAACGGTTGAACAAACAACGGTTAAAAACGACGTAATCAGATAAAATCTAATTATACTACGATTTCATTTTTTTCTTATACTTAAAAAATATTTTAACAACCAACCGAATGTAATTTCATAATCAATCTCAGAATGATTTTTAAAACAATTTCATTTTTATTTTTGTATTGAAAACAAAATCATTTTAAAAGCTTTACCAAACGGCTTAAACTTTGGTAATCAATATTATTATTGGTGTTTGAGTCTTGAAATATCTCTCTCTCAAACCAAGTTCAAATTTGGAACTTGTACTTTAAAGTTTAGAACTAGTCAGTAGGGCAGTGCAGAATAGACCATAAACTACCATATGAAACCAATTCGTTAGTCTATTATGTATTTTTTCCAGACATCAAGACGGTCTGGTCCGGTCTGACAAACCTTAAGACCGGACCAGACTATATATTGTAACGCCCTGAAGAATTAAATGAGATTAATTAAAGTAATTGAGATTTATTAATGTGCCTAATCTGGTGTAATTAATTTATTATTGATTAATAAATGTTTCTGACGTGTAAATTTAAATAATTCCAAGGTATTTAAATATTCTCAGTATTTACATTTTTATCCAGGAGTGTGTATGAGCACATTTCTGGACTGTCATTTTAAATATTTTGACACTTGTCTTTTCTTTTCTTTTCTTTTTCCTTTCTTTCTTTCCTCCCGTGCATACTCTCTCATTCTCTCTCTCCCGTTTTTGTCTCAAATCAACCGGATCTTGAACTAAGAAAGGATTTGAAGAAGTTTTCAATGTCAAGAGAAGGATTCGAGGTAAGATTTCTGAAAAACGTCTCTTGAATCTCGGATTTTGGATATTAGAAAACCTATTTTGGTTCAAAACGGATTTTAATGGATTTTGAGTAAAACTATGGTAGAAATTGGAGATCTTAGGTTTCTTGGACTTGATTTAGTACCTAGAACCCGGATCTAGTGGTTTTCCTTTGAGATATTTTGATTTGGGACTGGATTTGCAAGTTTTTGGGCTGATTTCGCGGGCTTTCTTCGCCCTGCTGTTCTTCACAGGTCGACCTGTGCGGTCGACCGGACTGCACTGATCCCACCGGACGACCTGTTCAGTCAACCGAATTGCACACCACCGGTCGATTGGTGGTGTTGCACTGCTCTGTCACCGGTCGACCGGTGTACACTGGGTTTGACCCTGTTTTGCGGAAAAACCCTGTTTTGACCTCAGTTTTCGAGGAGAACCCAAATTAGCTTCATTGGGGGATCTAGAGTAGATGAATTAGCATCTTTAATCTATGTTTTGACATTGAAAACCCTTGGAATGATGATTTGAAATATGAAATGGTTTGTGAAACTTGTAATTGAATTATGACACACTAATAGGAAATCAAATGGTATAATTGAGATTGAAATTACTTTAGAATTGAGAATTGGATCCTAAAGCGTGGTTTTGTATCAATGCTAGCTGAGGACTCGGATTGAGGGGCTTGAGGAAGCAAAAGCCGGAATAAAGTAACGCTAGCCAGGTTTGATGTTTACGAGGTAGGATTCCTTACCCCTTTCTTTGTGAGCCTGTTTTTAAAGAGTTTTGGCATTGCAAATGTTTTAAAGAAATGACATGTTTGCGAAAGAAAAACATGTTTAAAAATAATAGCTTGATTTTAGCTATTGGAATTATAATGAACTGTTTCATAAAGTTTAATGAATGATTTCTTAAGACAAGAGATTTCGTGAATCGGTAAACCGGCTAATGACCTAGATAGAATGTGGAGAGTGCATCCTTGGGGGCAGAACCTGAAACCCGGCCCGGGGGTGATTAGGCTTGTGCACGTGGTTGTGTAAGTAATTTATTATAGTATAAATTACTTACTGATGCCTGTAATATGGAGATTTTCCATTAGTTTTCCTTTGAGAAAAAAGATGTGAGGTTCCGGCTGTTGTGTTGGAACTGAATGTCTATATTTATTCGTTTATTCATTTATTTATTTGCTTATTCACTTATTTATAAATTTATTTCAAAATATATCCTAGTGGGCCTTTCGCTAACGTTTATTTGTTTTATAAATGTTAAATCCCTCCTAGGCGATTCTAGAAGCAGTGCGGAGTAGCTGAGTTGCTACCACCTGATTAAGAGGGGATTGTGTTCATCCTCCTGGTGTACGAATGTAAGAATTTGTAAATTCTGTAAACTCTGATATTTGGATTTCTAGACAGTGGTTGATGTCTGTAATGTTATTTACGTGTCATGTATGTACGCTATTGAAGATCTTGTGGACATATCCTGTGATTTATTTTTCACACAATAGTGGGGCTCGTTTGGGAATTTTTTTAATAATTTATTTTTAATCGCGGTTAACCCTTAATCGAGCCTCCACATCACCGACCCCAGCCCCGGGGCGTGACATACATGCACACCAAAAGTTCTTACTTCTCTTTCTATATCTTAATTTGTATATACGTGTGTTGTGTCATGTGTGGGTATTCAACAAGGATAAAGAAAAATATGTGTGTGTATGTATGTATGTATATGGCCATGTAGTTATTTAACAATGAGCGCTATGTTTGACCGGCAAAATGGGAAATCCTAAGGTGTTAAGACTCAATTGCAATAATATATACAATCTTGTGGTGTTGATAATGTAGTTGGTAATCAAAGAAGAAAGAGGAGCCAATTTTCAATATTTAGATGGGTCTTAGCAATTAGGTTGGAGTAAGCTAAATTCCACCAAACAAAAACTTCTGTTTATTTAACATCCAGTGGATTAGGTTTTGGTGGTTCTCTTATTGGGTGGAGACTTTACCTGACCCAGTTGATCATTTCCGTGGAAATTATCAAGATAAGGATACATCTATCATATATGATTGGGATGTCTTTGATATATTGTACCAGATAATAAGACTACTTGACCATTATTAGAGGGAGAGGATGGGATGGGATTGTCGAATTATTTATAGATAAGGTTTTAATGGGTGCATTATTTATATATGATAGGGGGACAACATATTATCCTATCAGTTGGTCCCAACTATAATTCGTCGAATTTTAATCATGCTTTGTTTACGGATTAAACTTTTCTTAATTTAATATGATTTTAATGTGAACGGCTTAAAAAATGTCTTGCTCCTAGAATTTTTCTTTCATACCTACCACATATTCTTCTATTTCGAGGGGAAAAAAAGTTGTCCCAAGGTGAAAATGTGTAAATAACTAATTGAAATCCATAATTTTGAAAGAGCATCTTAATTGTTGAGCTTGTTCACAATGGTGGAGTCAGCCATCAAATTTAGTGGGGTGTATAGTAATTTTTTTTTTTTTTTTTTTTATAAATATAACTAACATAAAAATGACTAATTTTAGATTGACCCCTCTAAAAATAACGGGTGTCTCATTTTGTTCCTACAACTTAAAATGACACAAAACTTTCTTTGAATTATAACTTTAATACTTTTGACATTAAGGCGTTAATGTTTCAATGGTTTTAATCATATATCTGGCTTATCTGAGTACTTTGTAAAGGAAAATATAGTAAATTTAAGCAAAATAAAACTTAAAATTTAAAAGAATCTAAATAAAACACCATATCAAAAACATAAAACATGTAAAATAGTGACAATGAGGTTTTATGTTTTGAAAAAACCATATAATATCTTCATTTTACAGAGACTAATATGAGATTATTTATTTTGGGTTGAGGCAACATAAGAGAAGTAGAAATTTTAAAGTTAAATTAAAAAAAAAAAAAAAAAAAAGATCAGGGGGGCAACAGCCCCCACTCATCCTATAATAGCTTCGCCTTTGCTTGTTCATTCTAATGATGTTCCGTCATCGAACTTGTAAATTTAGTTTTTCCTAGTTTTCTATTAATTTATATATTTCTAACATTGAGAGTTTTTTTAATTGATTTTAATTAAGATTGTAAACCTACTAACTAAAGGAAATAATTAAACTTCTAACTATGGTTAGCAGCTAGCTAGGCAGTTCAAACTTTATATATATTGACCTATTGCACTATCTGGCCAACTTTAAGCAGGTGAAAAAACTATATTGTACGTAAAGGTGAAAAAGAATAGCCCCGATTTTCTGAAGCAGAGTTTTAAGATATATACCTTTTAATTCACGTAATCAAAACAAAAAACAAAAATGTTTAAAAACAAGTCAAGTTAGCATAATAAGAGTTCTAAGAGTTTGTTAACCAAAGTTATAACTTTTCCATGACCATTTGACAATTTCTACGTAGCTGATAGAAGTTAGTTTTGCCAACTAAAGATTTTTTTTTTTTTTTTGGTAAATTGCTAAATAAGAATTTGACCTTTGTAATATTTTGATTCTTAAATTGGGAATTTTGTAAAATTCAATTCTAAACCTCATAACAGGTTGTTTCTGCGATTTCTCTGAGGAAATTTGAGCATCTGAGAGTTGTCATAAATGAAATTATTTGCAATATACTTTTGATCATTTTTTGGGTCTCAATAAGCCATGATTATTGTTGATGGATTCCAATTTTACCTTTTTTTTTTCCCCCCTTTTCCACCAATTACAAGCTGCTTTTTGAGGGAACATTTTACAAGTTGTCCAAAGTATTAAAGAAAAGAAAAAAGGTCTTTCAAAAGAAAAAAAAAAAAAAAACAGAAAAAGGGGAGAGAAAAAAAGGCCACAGTATCTCTCCACTTTTAAAGGGTAGAGCAAATCTACCGATTAAATTAGTTATACTACTCTAAAAGGTATAATGTAAAGCCTCTGCTTCTTCAAATAAATAAATAAAAACTGAAAAAGATCAGCTTTTTTGGTTTTTCCAATTGTGAAGCAATTGGGGAAACCTTTTATCATACTCAGACGTTCTCGAGGAATTTGTCTCAAACGTTTCAGAGTGGTAAAGCAATATGTTCTTCAGGACTTCAACTTTATGTTCAAGTATTTATTTACATTGATACTAAAAAAAAAAAAGTATTTATTTACATTGAGCCCAAAAGAAAAAAAAAGTTACATATTTACTTTAAAAGCAACGTCATCTTTTAATATTTTATTTTTTAGAAAAATTTTAAACTATCATAATAGCAGTTTTTAGACAGCCTAGTGATGGTGTTGTGGAACCATAACAAAATCATCAAAACGTTTATGATCAGCCGAAAAATGAAATAAATAAATTGAGAGCATAATTCTCGTGAAAATGCTTTATATTTGCAGTGTCAATTTTTCAATTCTATTTTTCAGGGGGGAAAAAAAAGTAACTTCTGATAATCACACTATTTGATACCTCTTCCCTAACTAACACAACACATGAGCTCAATCATTACATACGTGGGTTTTACAGTATCTTTTAGAACGTTCACAGTTTCTTTTCTAAAACAAATCTGTCTTTTTGATATGGTAAAGTACTGAACTCTCTTTAAAGTTACACTTTTTATTTAACTTGCATGACAGAGAAAAAAAAAAATTGTACATTTCTCATTTTCATGAGAGCCCAAATCTCACCATTCAGATTGAAAATCAAGGTGAAAATTTTTCCCTATTTAACATAGTGAAGTCATTTCATATTTATATGCTTCCATTTGTTCCATTAGGTGAAACCTTTTGTACTTTTCAGCTTCCGTTAAGGGAAAGCAAAGCAAACAAAGCAAAGAAGAGAAAAAACCATGGCCCACTTCCACAACCAAACTTCTCATTTTATTTTATTTTTCAAAACTGCAAAAATTGCGTGGTTGAAAATAAAATATAACCACCCCTTTCTCTATCCAGGCTAATAATGATTACCCAGAGCCGAAAACAAAGAAAGCTTTTTTTATTTTTTATTTTTTAACCTTTGGAATTGAATTCACGTTCAAGTATCACATGTTGGCTTTATATAATGTGTCGTTTTGTATGTATGCGCTTCTTGTGCTTGGATTTATAGCTAGCTGAGACTTTCACTTGTCTTTGCCTATTATCAATAGCCATTATCTCTCTTAACTTCCTCATTACAGCGCCTCATTAGCCTTCAAAGGCTAATGTGCTCTCTCTTTTAACTTCATTTCTTTACTTTCAAGTTTCATGGGTTCATTACCCTTTTAAGAGAGAGAGAGAAGGAGAGAGAGAGAGGGATTGAGAGGCTCAGATCTCTTGAGCATTTGAGAGTATCTGGAAATGGGTTCTGGGATTTCTGAGTTTTTGGTAATGGGGCTGTGTTTTTGGGTGTGTTTCTTTAGCTTCAGCTTGGTTTCTGTGAGTTCACAGAATGCGGTAGGAAATGGAAGTAATGTTGAAGGGACAGTTTTCATAGATGGGAAAAGTGCCATTGGGAGGATTGATGATGATTTTATATGTGCTACCTTGGATTGGTGGCCTCCTGAGAAATGTGACTATGGAACTTGTAGTTGGGGTAGAGCTTCTCTTCTTAATCTGGTATGTCTTTTTCTTCATTAAGTTTGTGTTTTGTTGGAACTACTTTCTAAATCTAATCCTTGCACATCTAGGTTTGGGAGATGTCATTATGCATGTTCTGTTGTCTGAGATTTAAATCCGTGTGGTTTTGGTGTTTTGTAATGTGTTCTGTTTCTTCAGAGCTCCGCCTTTCCCCTACTCACCTTCTCAGCCTTTTAATATCCTGATAAGTTTTGGAGTTTTTTATGCATTTCAGGCTTGAGTTTATTTATTTATTTATTTTATTTTGAAAGATGATTTCAAAGCTCACATGATTTTGAACACATTGTTCCTCTTCTATTTCAGTATGCTAATATTTGAATATGTAATGCACTTGTTTTTTTGTTTTTTTGTTTTTCTTTCCCCTTCTTTTCATACATAAAACATAAATTTTGTCCCTCCTCTATTGAATTGATACTTTCTTTGCACACTACATAAATAATTCACATGATTTTTGTCTTGTGCAGGATTTGAGCAACGATATTTTCTTAAACGCCATAAAGGGTGACAGATCTTTTTACTCCAATACCTTCAAATTCTTTTTCCTTTTATCTTATTTTTGCTGCTTTTGCTTTAACATATCATTTTGCATAGGCAAACTCTGTCTAATGATATATCCTTTATGGGATCCTAAAACTGTTTTCTTCTGCAAATTGTGTAGCTTTTTCACCATTGAAGATTAGATTAGGTGGTACCTTGCAGGACAAGGTCATTTATGAAACTGAAGACAATAAGCAAACTTGCACACCTTTTGTTAGGAACACCTCAGAGTTGTTTGGTTTTACTCAAGGGTGCTTGCCTTTGAATAGATGGGATCAATTGAACTCCTTTTTCAAGGCATCCGGGTAATAATATAATATTTTTATTCTTTATCTCTCTTGCTTAATCATAATTAGATTCTTGAAGCACAAATAATCTTTGAAGAATTATGTGGTGGGGTACAAATAAATATCTTATCAGCACAACATATTTTTGAACCGTCAGATCTTCATCAAGTTCCGTTAAATTATCATATAAATTTTTTTATAATTCTAACTTTATCCAATATTTCACACTTGTGTCATACCATTAGGACGTTTTTTTTTATTATTTTATTATATTTTATATTCTACCACAAAATTCTTAATAATCTTTATATCATTATTTGGTCCGCTTCAGGGCAAAGATTATTTTTGGATTGAATGCACTTGCTGGGCGAACTATACAGAAAGATGGTTCTGCAACTGGAGCTTGGGATTACTCCAATGCTGAATCCTTTATACGTTATACAGTAAAAAAGAATTACCCAATTCATGGTTGGGAGCTAGGTAAGAGCTTTGCTTCGTGATTAGCTAAACAAATTTGCTGGGTAGAGGAAACCTTTCGAGTCATATGGAAAGCAAATGGTACAAGAAAATGAGCTTTCCCACCTAAAATTCATAAGAAATATACATGTAATTACTACAGATTTTTGTTAAGTTTATCCCTATTTTTTTTGTTTTTGTTAGTTGACCTAGAAGAATTGATATTCATGGTGTTTGCATATTCCTCACTAAAATATTGCAAGAGTCATAGCTGTGTATTAATGTGTTTAGTTCTTTTATGGGATTTTAATATTGGGGTTAACTGAATCCATTTTTTTTTTTTTTTTTTTATAATAAGGAAATGAATTGAGCGGGAGCGGAGTTGGAACAAGAGTAGCAGCAGACCAATATGCCACTGACACCAACGCTCTGCAGAAAATAGTGCAAAATATATACAATGGAGTTGAACCAAAGCCACTGATTGTAGCTCCTGGGGGTTTCTTTGATACAAATTGGTTCAAAGAATTCCTGGACAAGACATCCAAATCTTTAGACGTGCTAACTCACCATATATATGATCTAGGGCCAGGTACCTTGCAATGAACAAAAACATTCTCACGCACAAATTTTTACTTGTTTTTGTTGTTATTTTGGGGCTAAAACATGGTTGAATTTGAAAGTCTTTTCTTTTTCCCCCCTTTTTTCACGGATAGGGGTTGATTCACATCTTGTTGAGAAGATTCTCAATCCATCCTATCTCGACGGTGAGGCCAACACTTTCAGAAGCCTCCATAACACCCTCAAGAGCTCTGCATCGTCTGCAGTTTCTTGGGTTGGGGAGGCTGGAGGGGCTTATAACAGTGGCCGGAATCTCGTCACTAACTCATTCGTGTTTAGTTTCTGGTAACATTCGAATTCCTACGTATCTGACTTTATTCTGATAAATCTTATAAACTAATATCAATGATGTATTGGGAGTGAAAAACAGGTATCTGGATCAGCTTGGTATGTCAGCAGCTTTTGATACCAAAACTTACTGTAGACAGTCATTAATTGGTGGAAACTATGGATTGCTCGACACCACCAACTTAGCCCCAAATCCAGACTACTACAGGTAATTAATATATCGACTAATTAGCTCCCACAAGATTCTGGTTCAGTTGAAGAATTAAGCATAAAAGCTTTCACACTCTTCATGCTTTACTTCAATATAAAGTGTGGTATTTGTAGTGATACTCATTTACTTGATGTGGTAAAAGCTACACATCAGCCAAAATGCACAGTTGAAAAGTATACTCTTCAATAATAATGCTTCAATCCTGGATTTCTTCATTGCAGTGCTCTTCTTTGGCACCGGTTGATGGGACGAAATGCGCTGTCAACAAGCTTTTCTGGGACGAAAAAGATTCGTGCCTATGCACATTGTGCAAAACAATCTGTAAGTTTAAACCATGCTTTCATTTGTTGGTGAAGTGTTAGTCATCCTCTTTTTGTAAGCTGATACATCTCCATCATACAGAAAGGGATTACGGTCCTACTAATCAACCTTGACAATAGCACCACGGTTCTGGGAAAAGTTGCCTTCAATGGAACATGGAGTTTAGAACAAAAACAAACGCATCATCACCGTCACCACCACCACCATCATCATAGATCAAGGACTTCTATTCCTCGCTCTTTAAAGAGTGAGACAGCAAGAGAAGAATATCATCTATCCGCAAAGGATGGTGATTTACACAGCCGAACCATGCTTCTCAATGGAAACATTTTAAGTATAGATTCATCAAGCAACATACCTACCTTGCAGCCTGTATATATTAATTCCTCGAAACCGATAGTGGTTCGCCCATTCTCAATTGTATTTGCTCACATACCATATGTCGTCGTCCCTGCTTGCCAGTAGGCGAGTAACATGGAGCTGCAACTGGTTCCATATAGTGATTGATAATAAGAGAATACAATTCAAATGTATTAGTAACTTTTTGCAAGAAATAATACAAAAGCAGAGTATTCAAAATACTATACTTCTTCCCTTTCTTTCTTCTTATCAGTCAAAGAAATGACTACCGTGCGATTGTGGAAACTGAAAAACTGCTAGTACCACAAGTTATTAAAGTTGTCTAGCGAAGGCTTGAGAAATTCAAAGCTTACAAAATGCATTCTTTATGGCTTTTCAATAACTGTATACATACATATTCCAACAATTTGTAAAATGAGAATCCTTAGAACTGCTATACATTATGATATTTCAAATATGTTTAAGACATCACTTTGATGGTAGCAGAATACATCACTTTGATGGTTGCAGAAATACAACCAGAGAACTTGGCAAAAAGAAATAAATAATGTGTCATACAGAAAATTGTGTATGTCTGCGTCCTTTCTATGTGCATTTACAAAAGGTTATCTAGTGGATAAGTTCATTTCAATGCTAATATAGGATGGTTAATACATCCAAAAAAAAATTCTCTAATGGTAAACTAGACTCAAGAGACGCAACCCTGAGCCAAAAATAGATTAGTCTCTCTTGGAAAAGCTTTGAGGCTTACTGCTGGCAAAAACCAACCAAACAACTGTACCAGTCAAGTAGAAGAATATTGACGGTGCAAACAATGATATCTGCAAATTAAAAATGTGAATTAATTAAGAGAAAAAAATGAGAAGTATGTAACATAAGAGACCCATAGAGAGATGAAAGTAAAAGAATGGTAACTTACACTCCACGAATGAGTTAAATCTAGAAGATAGCCAGTAAGCGCAACACCTACTATTCCAGGTACTGCCCCAACCGTGTTGGTAATACCCTGCGTGAAAAGTTTTAATCATTCAAAGCTGAATCATAGAGACCAAAATATTTCATTTTCAAGACTGAAAATCTGGGCAACTGCAGCCAGTCCTGGGCTCTCTCTCACCAGGCATGTTTAGAACAATCAGCGGGGGTTGGGTGAATAATGCTGATAACCATTCAAGGATCTAATATTAGGGTATGGAGATGCATTAATAGTGACTGAGGCAAGTCAAAGCTCATGATGGACAGATGGACAATATTTTGGCTGAAATCAATCAGGGAAAGGCAAAGGTAAAAGAGCTCCCAAATGGTTTCGACTGCTATATGCATATCTATGGACGAAGAGCAACAATTATCTCTTTGCATGCCGCAAAAAGTAAGAATTCCACTTTGTCAGAGCATCTCTCTATCCCAATGCCAAAACTTGGAATTTGGTTAAGAAAACCGTTCTCCAATGAATTATGGATTGATGCGTTGACTTTTTTGACTTAATAATTATAATAGTGGCGTTTTTAATTTATTCATAATAAAAAATAAAATTTTTCTTACAAGTTCCAAGGCTAGAAATTTATGCAGAAAGTAGATATCACATTTGAAATATGATTATATATTAGAAAACAAAAGATAAAACAATCTATTAAACATGTCATTTTTACACTTTGTAGTGACAAAAATGGCATGAACATTAGCATTTGGATTGGAGATTGTCCTGGAGTATATGGCTAAATGAGATTACGGCAGTGGCTCCTATCCTAATAGAGATGAATCAGCCATACTATTCTACAGATTATGTTTGAAGGAATTAGGACCAATCTATCTTGACTAATGCCCTGAAATACTAAATGGCAACTTTAGATTACATAAAATAAAATAAACAAGGTTTTAAAGTTTATGTACCAAAAGGATACTTGCGTACTCAGGTGACATATCTTGATGAGTGCAGTAAAGTCCTGTGGAGATTTAAGATTGTAGTAATCATTGACAGACAAGACAATAATATTATCCATTATCTTCTATAATAAAAAAACCACTTCTTGAATTGTTGTGCACCTGACAAGGCAAAGCTTGAGAGGGCTAAGCCACAAGAGAGAATCCCCACAACTTCCCAAGGAGGCAATCCCAGATCCAGAGAGGAAAGAGTCATGCAAATTGCAGGTGACATAAAGGCAATTGTTTGGCAAATCTTTCGTACCTGCTTGAATGAAATTCAAAATATGTAACAAAGAAACTTAACAGCTCATGAATTAGTACGCATGTATTTTGGACGTATTGTATGTTTGTGTGTGTTGTAGATTAAACTTAAAAAGAAAGTTAAGAAACAGTGGAATTATGACAGCTACAAGCCTACAACCAAATTATGTGATTTCTCGTTGAAAGAAACAAGGAAATTAATTACAGATTACTATGACAAAGAGCTACTTCTGGTACCATCACAAATCAACTAATAGTTCACAGTTTCTCCTTACCGTAGTGGTTTCAACTCCATTTGCAATAAAATGGTCAGCAATCTGTGCTGCAATGTTAGTCACAAAAACTGAAGCCAAGGGAGGGAGAATGGAAACCTGAAACAAGTACATAAACTCTACACTTAAAAAGATGGATATTTGAATCCATGTAACATAATATAAGATGTATTGTGGGGTATGGTTATCGAGATTTATAAAACTCTTTATGACTTTATTGTGCTTGTTTCTATGATGCCTACATCCATGAGGTCTCCACTCTATCGATGTGGATATCAACCCTAACAGTTGCTAAGAAGTAGAAGCAATCCGATCTGTCTGCCCAAAAGAACCCCCTGACTAAATAATGGAGACTATGAATATGTGTCCAAATAATATTTTCTAAAGAGTTTATAAAATGCATTCATTTTCTCAGAAATTCTATATATTATCCTGAATCTCTTATGAGATAATGGGAAATGAAATTTCTTCTACATAATAATCCTTTCTAATCCATAAGGGTACGCTCTGATTTAAGTTAATCTAAAGTCTAGAATAAGGGTGGGAAAAACAAAAAGGATCAAAAAACAACATTTCACAGCTGTTGGTTTACCCATGCAGCTTCTGTCAAATTCAGGTTCAGCTCCTCACTGCACACACGTTAAATGAAAATCAACTTCTTAAAGAATACATGTTCATAACAAGGGGAATTCATGTATTTGTTGCAGGTGTATGGGATAAAATAAAAAATTTTTCTTGGGAGATTTTTCTAACATTTTCCTGATTGGTATTAATGGTTACTTATTTACATATATTAAGGGTGAAAAAATGAAATACAGTAATGTATTTCTTGTGTTAAAGTCCTGAAAATATACCAAGTAAAATATCCACTGAAAAAGGACAAAAAAAAAAAACAGTATTAGTTGCACAAAGTCTCAGGTAACTATTATTGGTATTTGGTAGTTTCGCTGTAGGTAACAAATAGAGAATATGAAAATTGGAAACATGATGCAAAATAGACAATGGCAAATGTCACACGGTTAAATTTTCAACTTAAAATTCGACACAATGTGATGGGCTAACAGCAAACTACATTACTTTTTTTGGAAAAAAGAAAAGGAAAAAAAGGGAGCTACTGCCGCATCAAACTCTGTTCAAATTTCACTGAAAGGAGCGTGTATAAGTACCTAAAATAAGTAGGAATCCATGACAGGCAAGTATAGTGACCCCAACTTCCACAAAAATGTGCATATATCATAGCCCATACTGCTGGAGTTTGGAAAAATGCCTTCCATGGTACATCCTATTAGTACAAAAAGCAAGTAAGCAGGAGCCAGAAATTTTTATCAGTGGGGCTAATAAATAAATAAAATATTAAGTAAAATAAATATCTAAATATCTATTAATGCACTACAATTGTCTCTGATGAGTTTTAATGCATTGAAAATGTTGCATAATTATTGGGTGTATAGTACACTATGTTTGGTTGGAGGGAAAGATGGAGGGAGGGAGAGGGGTGGAAGGAGAGAGGTGGAGGGAGAGATGCAAACTCTTGTGTTGGAGGGAAGAGAGGAGGGAGAGGAGAGATGGAGGGATGTGCTCTCCCTCCTAATCCATCAAATTGAATCCTTCCACTAATGGAAGGATTCATGTAATCCACCAACTTTTAGTTTTAAAAGACTATTTTACCCTTCAAAAAATTTATTAACAAATTACACAAATGGACAATATAGTAATTAACTAAATAACTATCGTTCATCCTTCTAATTCTCTCTCCCTCTTACCAAACAATATAAATGATTACTATAATTCTTTCCATCCTTCATACTCAACATCCCTCCAACTCTCTCCATCCTTCCTACTTTTCATCTCTTATACCAAACGAAGCCTTAGGCTTTTGGTTTGGAAATGGGATTATAACATTAATTTTAGTGGGGGCTTATTAATACCAATACTATATATAAGATTTAAAAGGGCAAAAATTTTGAGTTGGGGCCTAGCTTTGGCTACGTCCATGCAAGTAAGAAAACCAAGCCACCAATAATAGACAGCCAAGAATTTTGTAGTAGCCATTCTACGAGTTAAGTCAAAATATCTCTGTAACTTAGTTATCTACCAAAAAAGGCAGTTAACGCATTCTATACAGCTAAGTATCATCCTAAATTTTTCCTTTTTCATCAATGAAAAGGCTGCCCTGCATACTTCTAATTACAGCTTCAACCTAACAATTATTCTCTACATTTAGACAATTACTGTTAGTGGCAATGAAAGCAAATCTGGCTATCTAAGTAATATGAATTCACAAGAGGAAACCTGCCTTATGAAGAGTACCCAAAATCAAAATCAATATCAAGCTTTGGACTGGTATTTGGCAATTTTCATACTCAAAACCTTGTTTGGCTACCTAATACTCTGTAAAGATAATTATGGCAGTGTCCACTGATAGCTTAGAATTTGACATATTTCTACGTATAAAAGTTACAACCAGCCAAGTCTACACACTTCGAGCTGACACCCGTCACTTATATACACTTGATAAACATGTGGCATACCTTCAGTGAATCACCCAACTCTTCAAGAGAATTATTCCGCGTTTTATTTGTGTAAATGGTCTCGGTACCTATAACATTATCAGGGGAAACTTTCATTCTAAATGGATATGGTTAAGTTCGAAAAATTAACGCATGATAGCAGTAATATTCATTTTTACCAAATATTATTTATATCTTTCCAATCATTTTGGTATTCGCCAGACATATTACTATTCTTAATCGTACTCAGCGGTCAGCACCATAACATTAACCAAGATTCCAGATAATAATAATGAAGAATAATGAAAGAACTTTATTATGAACAAATGAATAATTACAAGCTATTCTACACTCTATTTATAGATACTTTCTGTTACATAAAATTGGGAAAGAATCCAAAACAGATCAGCCCCTTAGGACTCGGTAATCTTCCCTGATTTCCTATACTAGAAAATCTCCTAAAAATCCTCCTATGATATCTCATCCGAGATTTCCTACAAATAATAATGAGCTCAGTTTCTCAAGAAAACAATAATAGCATACACATTAAGTACTCACGTGAAATGGATTCTGCAGTCAATGAAACTTTTTCGTCTTCCAGAAACTGAAACCCCAAGTACCTTAAAAAATATATGGCCAAAGATGAGAGTAAAGTCATACTTAAATTAAAAGTGTTTTTCCTTATTCATCAAGTAGGTACAATTGCAATTGATTAGGAAGAATCACTCAACTCGGAATAAAAATTTGAAATCCATTTTAATTACCAACAAAACTAATTTTGCTTTTCTCAATAAACGCTTTTGCATATTTCAGTAGTAAACAATAAAGATGTTTCACACACCAAAGTAGAAGCAGGTAGGGACACATTTAATAAGCACAGAGATGGCTCTTACCAGCCTAACCCCAAAAGACCAAATATGTAAAATACCGACTCCCAGCCAAGATTTTGAATCAGCGGTGGAGCCAAGAGAAGCCTGCAAGTGCTTAAGATGTAAGGACTTGCAACAAACCAACGGAAGCCATTCATGCAAATATCAAGGGAGAAAAGGCCCAAGAAATACACGTGATCTAGCAATACCTAAAGTCGCACATTGGATGTTCATGTTAAGAGAGCATATTGGTTCTGGCAGAACAACAGAGTACTGAAATAAAATCATTCATGCAGTATTTTTTAGATTGTTGTTCAATTTCTTTGAAAAAGAAAAATGCCACAACTTTCTGGAAAAGCTTTTACAATATTTAATACCAACAAAAATGATTAAAGAAGATTAAAAAAAGTGTGCCCGAAAGGAGGGATAAAAATGAAATTTAAATAAAACAAAGACAGGTTTTGCTCTAACAACATTCTAAGTGCCTAAACAATGGTACTAGCAAAATACAAAAAATAAAACAATAAAAGTTCAGGAAAATCCTATTCTTAGTTCACAAACAGAACTTATTTTCCAATAAAATATAGGTTTGACAAATTATAAAACATACCCTGCAACGCTTCCTACACTCAAACCACCAAAAACAAATGCTACAGCCCGTGAGCGCTCCTCCAAAGGTATTGATCTGCGTGAGATTTCACTTCTTTCATAAGAGATAACCCATATGAACAGAAAGAGATACTTGGAGCAACTATGTAACACTGACAATAAAATGAATTCAAGAAAAAAAAGGGACAACTTCGTAATAACATGTTTAGAAAATAATAATGAACAATAGACACATGATATAGAGATAGCATTTGTACCCGCTGGAACATGCCCCTAATAGAGAAGGTAGGGGGATGTTTCGAGGCGGGTGTAGGGGCTAAAAGTAGCCACTGAGTTTGGGTCGGGGCGGGTCAGGGGAAGCATCCCCTACCTCGATATACACATTAGTCTTTTTTAATGTATATACTTTATAGCAATGTAAAATGTTGGAGTGAAAATGTGGGGTGCAAAAGAAAAAGGAAAAACGTACCTCAACTCTAATGTTGTTGAATTTTTACATTAAGTTGATGGCATTTTCTATGAGTTTTGATAATGTCGCAAGATTTTATAAAAAAGAAAAAAAAAACAAAAAAACAAAACAAAACCTCTTTATGGGTAAAGGTGTAGGATATGGGAGGGGCCCGGTCCCCCGCAGGGATTCCCCAACCTTGAACCCTCCTTAAGTTAGGTGGATATAGGTGCCAAAAGGGGTAGGGTATGGAGGTGGGGGAAGCATACCCACCTCGCCCCGTTGCATCCCTATTGTTTGTAAGACTACCATGCTTCCGAGTGAAATCAATGTCATACATGCCTGGCAATCAGGTCGGTCGCAGCAGATGGAGATACCCCTTCTCCTATTCCTACCTAACACATAAAGAGAAAATGAAGGCTCAATAAGTCGTAACAATATCCATTAAATAAACTCAAAGCAACAAGATTAATATTTCTCTTCCTCCCTTCTTCCAATGGTCTGTAACAAATCTGTCCCTTTCAGGACTACTAAAATCATGCAGTAAATTAACACATCACGTCACAGAGTTAGACAGAAGCAAGCCTAATTAATGACAAGTTAGAAGATACAGAGATAGGAGGTGGAAACAATTACCAAAATTCTTGACAATATTAAGCCTGGCATAAACCCAGCAAGAACAGGAACGAGTGCCGTAGCGAATGACCAAGTTAATACTCCAATCTCAAGAACCTTTCTGCATCAGAAAGAAGATTAAAAGTTGAACATGAGGCATATAATACATCTCTCTACTTCATCCCCCAAAAATGGAATGATCTCAGTGCATGCAATATCCAATAATTACCGATGACCCTGATCCTTAAGGAACATGACTGCTCAGCACCATGTAATCCTAGTTGATTAAGGGCAAAATCAATCTAGCGTGTCTAAGTATTACCATAGTCGTCAAGGCTACAAATAAACAGTTAGTTTTAGCTGTATTAAGGGCCCTATTTTAACTATAACAACAAGCACTTCTTCATTCTCTATCTAATTGAATCAAAACAGAAGTGACACTTCATAATTGAACATTAGTCGCACAATTTTTTAGAATTAGCACATTTGGCGCAACAACATAAGCATATGAGTTTTAATAAACAAACCTCCCCCCAGATATCTTGGCAACCCACCCGCCTGGCAACTGACTCAAAGCATATCCCCAAAAGAACGATGACTGCACCAATCCAGCCACTGAAGAACTCCAATGAAACTGATGTGACATCGGAATTATGGCAACACTCAAATTCACCTGCCAATTTAAAAATAATAATTAAAAAAAAAAACTTCTTCACTTCACAGAACTCGTTAAATATGTAATTAACTAACTTAAATTATCATTCCCCAACTTCAATCAAAACAACACAAAATCAGATTCCAAACAGCACAAAAAGTTATTAGAATTCTCAGAGTAACTACCTTATCCATGTTGCAGATAATAAACGCAAGGGAAGTTGTACCGATAAGCTTATATCTCTCAGGAAGGTTCTTCCATGGAGGCCAATTCCAAGTGAACTCCGCTTCCTCGGACCGATTCTCGGCGCCAAACTCGACCTCGGAACCCGAAACCGGAATCCCGTTGACAACTCCATCGACTCTCTGGCTCTCTTTGAGCTTCTGCGTCTCCTTGACGCTGCACAAAACCCTAACTCTCGACCGCCGGTCCTTTGGAGGGAATAAACGCAGTCGACGGGGTCCGGCCGAGGAATCGAAGACCGAACTCGGGTTGCGGTGGGAGAGGAAAAACAAGTTCTCAGCTTTAATTGCGAGTTTCTCCATGACGAGCAGAGAGAGGGAAAGGTGTTTGGTCGCTGAGAAAATGAACCGTTGGTCGCGAGAAAAAGAGGAAGTTAAAAAGAGTGTTTTTAAGACAGTTATGTATGTAGTAGTGTTGTGTGGAGATGGCCGTGGGTGTGAAGAAAGAGGACTTTGAGGTAGCCACGGCACAGGTGTTTTTGTGGCCATGCATTTGTTTGAATTCTCGGATGCATTAAATATTCTGGCCCACAAAACGATTTGCTTGGTGGGACCCGCATACTTGGTGGCGTGTCCTGTAGGCCATTATTCATTTTGCCCGTTCTAAGTTCAAATTAAAAAAAAAAAAAAGTGAATTTATATAACAACAAACACTGTAGTTAAATTTAAAATTTTATAAGAGAATATACTGTAATTAAATTTGAGATGTGATTTGAACTAGTGAAATGAAGAGAGAGTGATGTGTTTTTGTGACATGTTCATGTGAGATTTATTAGTAAACAATTAATTAAGAAAATACTCTACTAAAAAAAATATTCAAGACAAATACTAATTTTTACTAAATTATTGATGATTACAATAATTTTCCTTCAGTTTGTGTATCCTTGTAACCATGTACCGTTAATTTTTAAAATGTAACATCCACTTTTCTTGAATTATGAAGTATTAACGAGAAAAAAGAAAATTTATGCATTAGAATTTTTGAAAAAGTATGTCGCACAAAAAATGAGGATCCTTCAACAATTTACTAGTGTACACTTACTTTGATAACTCTTACGTGCAGCCACAAAAAATGTGAAAAAGGAGAGATTTCTTAATTTTTTAAGTTTTTTTAATTTATTTAGTATTAAACTTTCCTTATCAATGAGAACTTTTAAATTAAATCCTTCTAAATTTAAATTAGCTTCAAACATAATAGAGTTACAAAAATAAAGCTAGTTAATTTATGATTCAATTTACGTTAAAAATCTTTATCGAATGTGTTTTTCATAATATTTTATAAGTCGGACGAAATAAATATTATATTTTAAAAGCAGAGATTTATTGTTATAATTGGGTGTTTAAAATATCATATTAGTTAATGATTATTAATAAAAATATGACAATATAAGTAATCGTTAAATTAATTTAACGACACACTGTCCCCTTTTTTATTAAGAAAAAAAAGAGGTATTACCCTCCAACTGGCAAAAAGAATTAAGGATTCCCATAAAAACATAAGGAATTAATGATTTAACATTTTCTGTTCTTAAAAAAAAAAAGGCTTCACAGGGCCATCTTTAATTCAACATGCTAACTCGCGGTTTCAACATGCTTGCTCGCTGACTAGTGTGGGCGGCTTGCGGTTTTGCCCTTTCAAGGGCGGGTTCAACCTGACCCATCCATCACTCTTTTTGTTTTTTTTGGATGTCAGCATTAGACATGCATGTTAGATAAGTTAAATTTGTATATTAATGTATTATTAACTATATTTGTTAACTTTCATTAAGTAAATAATTATCATTATGCCTAAGCCTAGTCATAAACTATAAATAATATTTGAACTTATGGGTATTAAATATCTAAGTATTTATTTTGTTGATTTTTTTTCTCCTTTTTAACAAGCAAGATGAAAATGAATGGTGTTTGATAATCATATTGTACTTACAAGTTATTGAATTTTAATGGTTATTATTACCCGATTTTGTATCAGGTCCATTCGAGGGTCCAGCCCAACTAAGGAGTCACGCGACGTTATTAGGCTCGCTTCGTGGACCCAAGCCACGCTCGGAGAACTCCTGTGGGTTGTGGTTTGATGAGCCATGTGTGATCAAGTAGGCTTGTTTGTCGTTTAAATTGATCCAATTTGAATCCTGCTTGGGGGGTTTTCAGAATTAATTAGATTAAATACAAATGGGTGATGGAGAATTTCCAAAGAGCCTTCCTCCCATCCTTTTGGAAGCCCAAAACTGTCCTAAGTCCACACCTTAAAACCTCATTCTCTTCTCTTCGTTAAGGTTGATTCTCAGTGTTTTGACTCTAACAGAGGCTCTACCAATGCTAGAAATGCCTAACGGAGAGCCATCGTCTGTGACAGGCACATCCTTAAAGCTTCCTTCATCCGTGCCAGACATGCCTAATAGAGGCTCCCTCCCTAGTAGGCATGGCTCTTGGAGCATCCTATTCATGTCTAATGGAGCCTTTTTCGTGTCAAGCATCCTTTCTTTAAACTTTTTCTCGCCCAGCTCACCATCGGAACAATCTTCGCTTAGAGCATGCTCACCCTTCGGAGCAGCCTTCGTCTGGAGCACACTCAGCATCGGAGCGGCTTCATTCGGAGCAACTTTCATATCAGAGCCAACTTAACGAATGCTTAGCTAATATCTTATAAACCATCTCCAACAAGGTCTGACATGCGATCAGACCTCCGAAAGAGGAAGTCAATGGAGCACGAAGTTGAGTAAAAAAATCCTGAGAAGTTGAGTCAATATTGAACTATTGATCAATAGAGTACATTTACAAAGCTCCAATTAACTCCTGTCCATGACTTTATTATATTATGTATCATCCCCCTAGGGTATCCATAATTGACTTGAGGTAAAGTTCTGTTTTACTTTCCCGATTATATTTATCTTATGTTCAATTATCACTCCATCAGAAAATCACTATTCGTACCAATACAAATAGTAAACCATTAGATAACACAAAGTAATCTAATGGCTAGGCACTCATGTTTTCCAATTCCCGAATAATGCCATAAGAGGATATCATTAACTCTTTTAATAAGAGCTATGGATTCCATTTCTATGAATAATAAATCTATGCATACAAGAGTTATGCCCCCAACGTACCAGTGAGCGTACATTTACACAATGTTTGGTTATCTTCCTTTGGTACATCAAAAAGCACAAGTCAGGTATATGGGTTTATTATTCAGCTCAGGATTACGATGATAACATATCATTAGACAAAAGTGAATTGTTTTATTCAAACGAGATTATTAATTAAAATAATTCAACTTTTGTCCGATCTAATATAGATTCCACCACTAGAAACTATATCATTGTCTCTACCTATGGAGTCCCACATCTGATGATCAAGACAAGCCGTCTCTATTAGGAAGTAGACAACATAACAATCTTAACATAAATAAAGCACCTAACTCTATTCCATCGATTACGGATCATATTATTAGATTATCATCTTTAGATTCATGTCTTCTGCATATTCTTCACATTATATGTACGATCTAAATATTTATACTGACAGTCTCAGACTTTTAGTTTGCTTAATATACGTTCAATTAATATGAACATAAAGAAAACAAAACACTTGAATATGAAATAAACAAATCTTTATTAAATAGTCGAAAATGTCTAATAAACATTGCTACATTTATTCCTGAAGGGCATAAATGCTAATAATACATCCGTTGATAGTGGTGGAAGACAAATTAGCGAGTGATCAAATCCGATAGTTCTATATTTAGAAGTAAATGGCCAATTTACCAATGTATAGAAATTAATAGACCATTTCATGTTTCTACTTTTTAATTTTCCAATTTTATCTTTTTCTTACTATTTTCCCCTTTCTTTAAGAAAATTTTAATGGTAGATCCCATATATCACTGGTAAATGTAGGATTTACCAAATTTGTATTAATACGAAAAAAGTGAAAAATCTAACGATAAATCCCGGATATACATAAGCCTTGTTCACTTCACCGATTCGAGTTTTCAGTTTTAGGTTTCTACAGTAAAAAGCTCTCAGAAAATGTCACATCAACTTTTTGTGCTACAGTGAAAAGCTCTCAGAAAATGTCACATCTCAACTCGAATTAAAAACTCAAATCTGCGAAGTGAACGAGGCCTTAGTAAATTCTGAATTTACCATGTTCGTATTACTAGGGAAAAAGTAAAAAAATCTAATGGTAAATCCCAGATATACCTAGTAAACCCTGAATTTACCAAGTTCTTATTACTAGGAAAAAAGTAAAAAATCTAATGGTATATCCCAGATATACATATATAGTAAATTCCGGATTTACCAAGTTCATATTTCTAGAAAAAAGTAAAAAATCTAATGGTATATCCCAGAATTTTGCTTGAATGCCTGAATTGCCTGAATGCCTAAAAACCCATCCAACGACTAGTTTTTTGCCCGAACTCCCCCGAACTCGACCCACCGATTTCTAAAGTAGCCGTTGCACCCCGAATTTTTTGAAAAAAAATCAAGTTTTTAACCGAAAAATTTCTCTATAAATACCCCCCATCCCCCACACATTTTTCTCACTCAAACTCTCTCAATCCCTCTCAATTTCTCTCAATCTCTGTCAATTTCTCTCAATCTCTCTCAATCTCTCAAATCTCTATCACAATTTTTCTAAAAACTATCACATTATCCTAAAGCTCTCTCTCTCAAATCGCTCTTATTTTTTTTATAATGGATTCTTTTGGTTATAGTGGTATTCCCGTTGATGCCCAACACAATGTGGAAGAAGGACAATTTCCCACTAATGAATTTGTTATGCAGGAATCTACTAATCCGAGCCCTGCAAGACGTACTGGAGGTCATGGTCGCAATGGTGGTGGGTGTGGAGAAGTAGTGACGTCGAGTGCCAGTGCGACTGTGTCTGCAAGTGTTGTAACCTCTAGGAGGAAATGCAAGTGCACCTTGACAGTTTGGGATCACTTCGACATAATTGAGGAGATCGACAATGAAGGTAACACTAAACATATAGCTCAGTGTAAATATTGTTTATCTAAATTATAAGGTGACACTATTCACAACACCACACACTTGAGAAGACACTCCAAAAAGTGTCTTCAAAAGCTTAGCCAATCCGGCGGATCCGAACTTCACCAAACACAATTATCTTTTGATCGCGCAACCGGTGGTTTAACCACTTGAAAATACGATCCGCAAGTAGATCGTATGGAAGTTGCATGAATGATAACTGCTTTAGATTAACCACTTAGTTTTGTAGAGCATCCTAATTGGCAAAGATATATTAAGGTTGTACATAATCCTAATGCACAGTTCACTTCAAAAACTACTCTTAGGAAAGATTTATTAAAATTATTTAAAAAAGAAAAAAAAAGCATTAATAAACCTTTTACACTCGACTAGCGGGTGAGTTGTGTTAACGGCAGATATTTGGTATGCCGTTGCCAATAAAGATTATTTAGCTGTAACCGGACATTATTTTAAAAGATTTGATTTAGATAAGAGAATATTAGGTTTTAAATGTGTTCTAGGATCACATAGTGCAGATTTAATATATAATATCATTTTAAATATAATTGATGAATTTAGATTAAGAGATAAAGTAATGGCTATAACATTAGATAATAATAGTGCCAATACAAAAGCAATTGAGTTCTTTGAAAATGATTTAAGTTTATTCGGTGACGGTATAATTTTCCAGCAACGTTGTGCATGTCACGTAATTAATTTAATTGTTAAATCTGGTTTAAAAGAAATGGGTAATCACATTAAAAGAATTAGAGATAGTCTTGCATGGATTCAAGGTAGTAACCAAAGACAAGAAGATTGGTTTAGGTTCTTACAAGCATTAAATATAACTCCTAGAGCATTAGCGTTAGATATGCCTATAAGATGAAACTTAACTTACATAATGTTTCAACAATGCATCCCCTATAAGGATGCTATAACAAACTATATGTGTGCAAAAGTAGGAATAAATCATATAGACGCATATGATTGGCAAATTGCCGAATTTTATATCAATTTTTAGGTAGGTTTCATGAAGTGACTCTAAAACTTAGTGGAACATATTATCCAACATCACCTTTAGCTTTAGGAGAACTTTTACGAGTTAGTATTTTATTTAGCGAATATAGGGAGGCCCCAATCTTAGTAGTTCCTATCCATTCAATGGAAAAGAAATTTATAAAATATTAGTCTAAGTTGCCTTTGTTGTATGAGTTAGGTACTATTTTTGATCTTAGATTAAAATTAGAAGGTTTAGAAAGTGGTTTACATAACTTAGAGGTGAAATTTTAGACATCAATTGTTTGAACCAATATCCAATAATAAAGGAAAAAATATTTTCGATCTATAGTTGTAACACTCTAAAGAATTAAATGAGATTAATTAAGCTAATTAAGATTTATTAGTGTGCCTAATCGGGTTTAATTAATTGATTATTAGTTAATAAATGTTTCTGACAAGTGAATTTAAATAATTTCAAGGTATTTAAATATTTTCAGTAGTTATATTTTTACCCATAAGTGTGTATGGGCACATTTCTGGACTGTCATTTTAAATGTTTGACACTTGTCCATTTTTCTTTTCTTTTTCTTTTTCTTTTTCTCTTCCTTTTCTTTCCTTTTCTTTCCTTCCCGTGTATACTCTCTCTCTCACTCACTCTCGTTCTCTCACTCTCATTTTCTCTCGGTTGTCTCTCTCTCCTGTTTTTGTCTCAAAGCAACCGGATCTTGAAGTAAAGGAAGATTTAAAGAAGTTTTCAACGTCGAAAGAAGAATTTGAGCTAAGATTACTGAAAAACCTCTATTGAATCTCGGATTTTTCATATTTGAAAACCTATTTTGGTTCAAAATGGATTTTGATGGATTTTGACTAAAAACATGGTAGAAATTGGGGATCTCAGGTTCTTTGGACTTGATTTAGTACCTAGAACCCGAACTCAGGTGTTGTCCCTTGAGATATTTTGATTTGAAACTGGATTTACAGGTTTTTGAAATGATTTTGTGAGTTTTCTTGCACTGGTGTTCTTCACCGGTCGACCGGATTGCATTAGCCTCACCGGTCGACCTGTCTAGTCGACCGGATTGCACACCACCGGTCGACCAGTGGTGATGCACTACTCTGTCACCGGTCGACCGGTGTACATGGGGTTTGACCCTATTTTGCCTGAAAAATCCTGTTTTGACCCTGATTTTGAGGAGAACCCAAATTAGCTTTGTTTGGGGACCTAGAATGAATGGATTAGCATCTTTAATCCATGTTTGAGCTTGAAAACCCTTGGAATGATGATTTGAAACATTAAATGGTTTGTGAAACTGGTAATTGATTTATGGCACACTAATAGAAAATCAAAGGACATAATTGAGATTGAATTACTTTAGGAATGAGAATTGAATCCTAAAGTATTGTCTTGTATCAGTGTTAGCTGAGGACTCAGATTGAGTGGCTTGAGGAAGTGGAAGCCAGAATAGTGCACCGCTAGCCATAAGTTTGATATTTACGAGGTAGGATTTCTTACCCTTTTCTTTGTGAGCCTGATCTTAAAAGAGTTTTGGCCTTGCAAATGTTTTAAAGAAAGGGGCTTGTTTGCGAAAGAAAAAGTATTTAAAACCTATGGCTTGTTGTAGTTCATGGTACCCATGGCTTGTTGTAGTACATGGGACCATGGCTTGTTGTAGTTCGTGGGACTCATGGTTTGTTGTAGTTCGTGGGATTATAATGAATGATTTCATAAAGTTTAATGAATGATTTCTTAAGATAAGAGATCTTATAAATCGGTAAACCGGTTGATGGCCAAGATAGGATATAGAGAGTGCATCCTTAGGGGCAGAACCCGAAACCCGGCCCGGCGGTGATATGGCTTGTGCACATGGTTGTGTAAGTAATTTATCATAGTATAAATTACTTGCTGATGCCTGTAATACTGATATTTTTAGATATATTTCCTTTGAGAAAAAGGATGTGAGGTTCCGGCTGTTGTGTTGGGACTGAATGTCATATTTTATTTACTTATCCATTTATTTATTTACTCGCTCATTTATTTATTCATTTACTTATAAAGTTATTTCAAATTATATCCTACTGGGCCTTTCGCTCACGTTTTATTGTTTTATAAATATTAAACCCCTCCCAGGAAATTCTAAAAGCGGTGCGGAGTAGCTGAGTTAGATTGGTACCACCCGGATTTGGAGATGATTATGTTCATCCTCCTGGTGTATAAATGTAAGAATTTGTAAAGTTTGATATTAGGATTTTTAGACTGTGGTTGATGTCTGTAATGTTATTTACATCTTCATGTATGTATGATACTGAAAAATCCTGTGGACAGATCCTGTACTTTATTATTTTAATTAAGTGTGGGGCTCATTGGGAATTTCCTTTATTATCATGCGTTTAACCCTTAATCAAGCTCCACGTCACCGACCCCTGCTTCGGGGTGTGACAGAGTGGTATCAGAGCCCTTAGGTTAAGAAACGATAGGATTGTACATATATGTGTGACATCAGAAATATACTGAATAGTCTAGTTTCTTTTCAATTAAAGAAGATTCCGCCGCGTCGTAGGTCGCTTAACAACCCGGCACCACAGAACCAGGAGTTCATGGATTCCATGTATGCTACTTTCCAAGGAATGGCCACTCAAGCTCAGAATGAGTGACTGGCCGAGGATAGGAAGCAGGGTTAGTTTTGAGAATTTAGACATGCACCAATCCCCACTTTCAATAGTGAGGGAGGACCCCAGGAGGCAAAATTCTGGTTTGATTCCATAGTCAAGCACTTGAATACTATGGGAGTGCCTGATGAATATTGGGTGGAATTTGTGGTGTACAAGATGGAAGGCCAAGCGAGTACTTGATGGAAGCAAGTGAGGAGAAGGCTTAATGTTGTGGAAATGAATTGGGAATAGTTTGAGGTTCTATTCAATGAGCAATATTTCCCTCAAAGCTATAGGGATGAAAAGGCAGTGGAGTTTATGTCCTTGCTTCAAGGTGATATGTCGGTGAGGGAGTATGAGGTAAAATTCAATGACTTGTCCCACTTTGCGCCATCTCTTGTGGAGTCTGAGCATTTGAAATGCCTGAAATTTGAGAAAGGTCTTAAGAATTCTGTAAGGAAACCTTTAGTGGCTCTAAGGATCCAAAATTTTCGAGACCTGGTGGCTGCTGCTACAAGCATGTAATAAGATAATTTGGCTTATCAGCAAAGTAAGGAAGTAGCTGGTCGAGTTTCTACTTCTGGTGGACCTTCTGCTTCAGGCGGGCCACAATGGAGTAGTAGAAGAAACCATAATCAAGGGCAGGTCAATGCCGACATGATCAATGGTGGCAGTAGTTCCTCTGGAAGTGACCGAAGTGGTCCCTACAGCCCCAAGTGTCATTATTGTGGGCAAGTTGGCCACATTAGAAGGAACTATCCAAATCAGAATTAGCCACCGACTCAGTAATCTCAGAGTGAGGCTTCTTACGGTCAAGCAAGACCACCACAGTTTGTGCCGCCTTATCAGCCACAGCTACCAACGTCAATGCCATACCCTCCTATGCCAACCTACTGTCCGCTTCAATATTCACAGTTTCGGCCTCATGTGTCGGGACCAGTGCAGATACATTTGCCACAACAATATAGGCAGAAAGACAATGGCCCAATATTGGTGATAAAGGAAAAGGAAAGCGCATGGACAAGCGTATACCCTGACCATAGGTAGTTCTGGAGGATAGGCTAGCAACACGGTGGTTGAGGGGATGATTCTAATCTATCATTCTTTAGCACATGTACTGTTTGATACTGGTGCTACCCACTTATTTATATCAAGTTCTTTTATGCAAACCTTGAAATTGAAAGCTGAGAGTTTGGAAACCCCAATGATGTTGAACTCCCCACTAGGATGTGTGGAGGTAGCGAGTGTGTGTAGATCGTGTGAAATCACGATTGAGGGTGAGCGATTGAGAGTCGACTTAATCATCCTTCTGATGAGTTTGTTTGATGTGGTACTTGGAAATTGTTGATTGCTACCATAGAAGAGTGACTTTAGGGACAAACTCTGGAGTGGTGATTGCTTATCAGGTAGATATGAATCCAGTCCTGGGAGAATGACTGCTGAGGTACAGTGTTGGGGGACGTAGGAATCTAGCATGCTTTTCTTTCCTTCTTGCTCTAGAAGGTGAACCTGAGGTAATTGGAGACAATGCAGAGATTCCTGTAGTGGATGAGTTCACAGATGTATTTCCTGAGGAATTACCTAGTTTACCGCCGAATCGGGAGATTGAATTCTGCATTGATTTGGTTCCGGGAACGACACCTATCTCTATTCCTCCATACCGGATGGCACCTGCTGAAATGAGAGAATTAAGAAAGCAGCTCGAAGAGCTAGCAGAAAAGGGGTATATAAGAAACAATACTTTCCCTTGGGGTGCACCGGTATTGTTTGTGAAGAAGCATAACAGATATCTTCAGTTATGTATTGACTATCGTCAATTGAATAGGGTAACTGTGAAGAATAAATACCCATTGCTGAGGATCTATGAGTTATTCAATCAGTTGGGTGGATCACAATATTACTCTAAGATTGACTTAAGGTCTGGGTACCATTAACTTAAAATAATGGAGGAAGATATTCTGAAAACTGCTTTTAGAACTCGGTATGGACATTTTGAGTTCTTGGTAATGCCTTTTGGGCTGACGAATGCCCCAGCTGCATTCATGGATCTAATGAATCGTGTCTTCAGGCCATATTTAGATCAATTTGTGATTGTTTTCATCAATGACATACTAGTCTATTCGAAGACTTAGGAAGAACACGAGCAGCATTTGAGAATCATTCTTCAAACTCTTCGTGAACTCCAGTTGTATGCGAAGAAGGAGAAGCGTGACTTCTGGCTAACAGAGGTGAAGTTCCTTGGGCATATGATATCAGGACAAGAAATTTATGTAGATCCTTCCAAGATCGAGACTGTACTACAGTGGGAAAGGCTAAAGAATGTGGCAGAGATCTGAAGCTTCCTCAGACTCGCCGGATATTATTGACGTTTTGTAAAGGACTTCCCGAGCATTGTTGCACCGATGACTCGGTTGACCAAGAAAGAAGTCAGATTTGAATGGGACACTGAGTGTGAACATGCCTTTCAGGAATTGAGGGTAAGGCTGACAAGTGCACTAGTCCTGATTATTCCTGACAGTGAAGAGACATATGAGGTATATTATGACGCCTCGGGGAGTGGACTTGGTTGTGTCTTATTGGAAGGTGGACGTGTCGTAGCCTATGCATCTCGCCAACTGAAACTACATGAACGAAGCTACCCTACTCATGATTTGGAGCTAGCAGCAGTAATATTTGCTCTGAAAAAATAGAGATGTTATCTCTATGGAGCAAGGTTTCAGGTGTTTTTTGACCATAAATGTTTGAAGTACTTGTTTACTCAGAAAGATCTGAACCTCAGGCAGAGGAGATGGGTGGAGTACATGGAAGATTATGACTTCACGCTGTAGTATCATCCAGGAAAAGCTAATATGGTAGCTGATGCCCTTAGTAGGAAGGCTAGAGGAATTTTGGCGTCATTAGCTTTGGAAGACTGGAAAATGACTAAAGTTGTGAGCGATTATGAACTTCAGTACCATGAGGATTATAACCAAGTAATGGTGTATAATATGATCCCCACACTGGCCCTTGTGCAACAAGTTAAGCAGAATCAATGGCAAGATCCTCATCTTTAAGGAATCTAGATTCGAATCCAGAATGGAGAGCAGCTTGAGGATTGGAGGATCTGAGAGGATGGAGCATTGTACTTTCACAACCGTCTAGCCGTTCCTAAGGTGGACGAGATCAAAAAGTTGATTCTGCATGATGCCCATAAATTGAGGTACGCTATTCATCCGGGAAGTACCAAGATGTACCAGGATCTGAAAAGACAGTACTGGTGGAGAGGTATGAAGAAAGACGTTCGTGAGTATGTCTCAGAATGTGTAACTTGTCTCCGGATTAAAGCTGATCATCAGAAGCCAGTAGGAGAGTTACAGTCTTTACCTATTCCGAGATGGAAATGGGAGCACATTACGATGGACTTTCTGATGGGACTAACGAGAATTAAGCATAGGCATGATGCCATCTGGGTGGTGGTGGATTGGTTGATGAAATCTGCGCATTTCATACCATTTCGTACGACGTATTCTCAGAAGGTTCTGGCAGAATTGTACCTGAAGCATGTTGTGAGACTCCACGGAGTGCTCTTGTCCATTACGTCCGATCGCAAAACACGTTTTAATTTAAGGTATTGGAAAAGTTTTTAGGAAGCCATGGGAACAGAATTAAACTTCAGCACCGCATTTCATCCTCAGACTGATGTTTAATCTGAAAGAGTTATTCAGATTCTGGAGGATATGCTTCGTGCTTGTATTCTGGATTTTGGTGGGAACTGGAAGAAATACCTACACCTTGCTGAGTTTGCATACAATAACAGCTATCAGACTAGTATCAATATGGCACCGTTTGAAGCTCTCTATGGTCATCCTTGCAGGTCACCTGTGTGTTGGTTGGAACCAGAGGATTGACTCACTACTGGACCAGAAGTTGTCCAAGAGAATAATGAGAAGATAGCTGTCATCCGAGAATGACTGTTAACGGCTCAAAGTTGTCAAAAGAGCTATGCTGACAAAAGGCGTAGGCCTTTGGAATTTCAGGAAGGCAACTTCGTTTTGTTAAAGGTTTCTCCACACAAAGGAGTTGCTCATTTTTGTGTGAAAGGGAAGCTTGTGCCAAGGTATGTTGGACTATTCTCGATCGTGCAACGAGTTAGAGTTGTGGTGTATCATCTTACCTTACCACCTGGGCTATCTCATGTACATGACGTGTTCCGTGTCTCCATGCGTCGAAAATGTCAACCTGAGCTGGAAGCGGTGGTGCAATGACATGACGTTCTGATACAGTATGAGGTGACATACGAGGAGGCACCAGTTTAGATTCTTGATCGTAAGATGAAGAGCTTGCATCATCGTGAGATCCCGCTAGTGAAAGTATTATGGCAGCACCATGGAGCTGAGAAAGCAACATGGGAGCTTGAAACGACTATGTAGGAGCATTATCCGCATCTGTTTGCATTTTGAGGTAAATCCTAATTTCGAGGACGAAATTCCTTAAGGGGGGTAGAGTTGTAACACCACAAAGAATTAAATGAGATTAATTAATGTAATTAATATTTATTAGTGTGCCTAATCTGGTTTAATTAATTGATTATTAATTAATAAATGTTTCTGACGAGTGAATTTAAATAATTCCAAGGTATTTAAATATTCTCAGCATTTACATTTTTACCGAGAAGTGTGTATGGGCACATTTTTGGACTGTCATTTTAAATGTTTGACACCTGTCCATTTTTCTTTTCTTTTCCTTTTTCCTTTTCTCTTCCTTTTCTTTCCTTCCCGTGTATACTCTCTCTCTCTCTCTCTCACTCACTCTCGTTCTCTCACTTTCGTTCTCTCACTCTCATTCTCTCTCGGTTGTCTCTCTCTCCTGTTTTTGTCTCAAAGCAACCGGATCTTGAAGTAAAGGAAGATTTAAAGAAGCTTTCAACGTCGAAAGAAGAATTTGAGGTAAGATTACTGAAAAACCTCTCTTGCATCTCGGATTTTTCATATTTGAAAACCTATTTTGGTTCAAAATGGATTTTGATGGATTTTGACTAAAAACATAGTATAAATTGGGGATCTCAATTTCTTTGGACTTGATTTAGTACCTACAACCTGGATTCAGGTGTTGTCCCTTGAGATATTTTGATTTGGAACTGGATTTTCAGGTTTTTGAACTGATTTTGTGAGTTTTCTTGCACTGGTGTTCTTCACCGGTCGACTAGATTGCATTGGTCGCACCGGTCGACCTGTCCGGTCGACTGGATTGCACACCACCGGTCGACTGGTGGTGATGCACTACTCTGTCACCGGTCGACCAGTGTACACGGGGTTTGATCATGTTTTGCCTAAAAACCCTTGTCTTGACCCTGATTTTGAGGAGAACCCAAATTAGCTTCGTTTGGGGACCTAGAATGAATTGATTAGCATCTTTAATCCATGTTTGAGCTTGAAAACCCTTGGAATGATGATTTGAAACATGAAATGGTTTGTGAAACTGGTAATTGAATTATGGCACAGTAATAGGAAATCAAAGGATATAATGGAGATTGAATTATTTTAGGAATGAGAATTGAATCCTAAAGTATTGTCTTGTATTAGTGTTAGTTGAGGACTCGGATTGAGTGGCTTGAGGAAGCGGAAGCTGGAATAGTGCACCGCTAAACACAAGTTTGATATTTACGAGGTAGGATTTCTTACCCTTTTCTTTGTGAGCCTGATTTTAAAAGAGTTTTGGCCTTACAAATGTTTTAAAGAAAGGGGCTTGTTTGCGAAAGAAAAAGTATTTAAAACCCATGGCTTGTTGTAGTTCATGGTACCCATGGCTTGTTGTAGTACATGGGACCATGGCTTGTTGTAGTTCGTGGGACTCATGGTTTGTTGTAGTTCATGAGATTATAATGAACGATTTCATAAAGTTTAATGAATGATTTCTTAAGATATGAGATCTTGCGAATCGGTAAACCGGCTGATGGCTACGATAGGATGTGGAGAGTACATCCTTAGGGGTAGAACCCGAAACCCGGCCGGCCCAGGGGTGATATGGCTTGTGCACGTGGTTATGTAAGTAATTTATCATAGTATAAATTACTTGTTGATGCCTGTAATGCATATATTTTTAGATATATTTCCTTTGAGAAAAAGAATGTGAGGTTTCGGCTATTGTGTTGGGACTGAATGTCATATTTTATTTACTTATCCATTTATTTATTTACTCTCTCATTTATTTATTCATTTACTTATAAAGTTATTTCAAATTATATCCTACTGGGCCTGTAACTCATGTTTTATTGTTTTATAAATATTAAACCCCTCCCAGGAAATTCTAGAAGCGGTGCGGAGTAGCTGAGTTAGATTGCTGATAAGTTGATTTTTCATCAATTTAATCCTGTTATATATTATAGTTTTTGAGCATATTTCAGTTAATTTGTCACTAGTTTTACGTTTATGTTAATTTATTTTGTAGGATTTGCAAAGTGGAGAAAATCAAGTGAAAAAGATAAAGAAGTCCATGAAAATCTCCATTTTGTGCGGGCTGCAGTGCATGAGAAGCAAACTACAGCCTGAGACTTCCAGAGAGCATTCCAGAGAGCACTCGAGCTTTAGGCTGCAGCGCCCCAAAGGGCGCTGCAGCGTGCCTGCTAGCCAGCCTCGCGCGCTTCGGCGCAGTTCAAGGTGCGCTTAGGCGCGCATCCTAGTATCATTGAGGCGCGTGCTGCAGCGCACGTCTGTGGGCTTAGGTGCGCGTCTTGGAACCCTAATGATGCGCGCTGCAGCGCACATGCATGGGCTGCAGCGCGCCTATCTCGAATTGGAGATTTGTGCACATTTGGGAGGTGATATAAGAGGAAAATAAAGCTGCTGGAAGGGGAGACAGACACTGAGAGTGGAATTGAACCAGAGACACGACAAGAACCCTAGAACCAAAGGAAAAGCAGCTATAACAAAGGATTTTTCTGGAGATTTTCAAGGGGATTGAAGGCAGTTTGAAGGCTTCAGAGGAGATTATCCAACAGGAGTTTTCATTACTTTCTCCCTTTGTATTTCTTGAATAGTTGTTTAATTTTCTGTTTAAACTATGGATCTTTGGTATTTTGTAATTATGTATTTGATTTTGAGCATGGATAGTAATCTTTTGTGTCTCTTGTGCTTAATTTCTAATTTAATTACCCATTAGATTAGAGACCTTAGATGTATGAAATTAGGCTCGGGAGAGTTAATTACATACGTTGAGAATTAAGAGACGCAACCTAAGGAGATATTGAGTCGGGAGGCTAGTATAACCTTAGGAGATCGAATATGGGCTAAACTTAATGAATGCATAATTGGTTAAATTAATAGGGATATTAGTTTAATTAATTTAACATATTATTTCACTTAGCGCTCGGGAGAGGGAGTGAGATTATTTTAGTACTCATGATTTAAGATTAGATGTAACACATCAGTAAGTGACAGATTTAGATAAATATAGCATAATTAGGTGAAGTCAAATCCCCTCCTAGCTCATTTTATCACAGAGATCCCTTCAATCCAATTCACTTTGGCATCCGTTGTTTGCATATTTTAGTTAGTTAAGTTGTTCAATTTAGTTTTAATTCCCTTATTCTATATTGTCTAGATAAAATTGGTCTAGATTAATAGCAATACTTAGCTCTTTCCTAGTTAACAATCCCAGAGGACGATACTCGATCTTTGGATCATTATTACTTCGTGATTCATACACTTGCGAGCACACGCTATTTTAAGCAAAAGTATTTTCGCGTATCAAGTTTTTGGCGCCGTTGCCGGGGATTGGCAATTTAGGATTTAAGCTAATATTGCTGTGAAATAGATTGATTTTAATTTAGACCTTTATCTTTATTTTATTGACTTAACTTTTGTTAATTTAATTTCGTTCATCTATTCTTTTGGTTGCAGTGTATGCGCCGAGTCCGCAGCTTGGAGACTGTTCCTTTAGACCCAGAAATTGAGAGAACTATTTCGAGACTAAGAAGGGAACATCAGAACAGAAACCGAGTCATGGCCGAGGGTAACAACAACAACCAACAGAGGGCTTTGAGGGATTACTTCAGGCCAGTGGTCAATGAGAATTATTCGGGCATCAGGAGGCAGACGATTAATGCGAACAATTTTGAACTGAAGCCTGCATTGATAAATATGGTTCAACAGAATCAGTACGGGGGGTTGATGTGTGAAGACCCCAATGTGCATCTAGCAATGTTTCTGGAGATCTGCGACACCATCAAAATGAATGGTGTGGACCAGGACATTATCAGAATGCGCCTGTTCCCTTTCTCACTTCGGGACAAGGCGAGGGGTTGGCTCCAATCAGTTCAAGCGGGTAGTATTGGCACATGGGAAGATTTGGCACAGAAGTTTCTTACCAAGTTCTTTCCTCCATCAAAGACCGCTCAACTGAGGAGCGAGATTGCACAGTTTAGACAGCTGGACTTTGAGCCTCTCTATGAGGTCTGGGAGCATTTTAAGGAGTTGACTAGAAAATGCCCGCAACATGGATACCAAGACTGGTTCTAAATCCAGATCTTCTATAACGGTCTGAATGGACAAACCAGGACGATTGTTGATGCGGCATCAGGTGGGATGATGTTGTCCAAGACCTATGAGGAGGCCAAATTATTATTGGAGGAGATGGCCTCCAACAATGCTCAATGGCCAAGTGAGCGGTCAAGTGTGAAGAGGGCTGTAGGAATGCATGAGATTGATCCGTTGGTCGCTCTTTCAGCACAAATATCAGCTTTGACCAACAAGATCTCAGAGTTGACCGCAAAGGAAGCCACATCGAGTAAGGAGACGGCTATGGTTGCGAGTACATCTTACACAGGTGAAGGTGATACTGAACAAGTGCAATATGTGAACAACAGAAACTTCAACTACTGAAGCAATAACATGCCAAGCAATCTACCAACTCATTACCACCCAGGACTCCAGAACCATGAAAACTTTTCATATGGCAACAACAAGAATGTATTGCAACCTCCTCCAGGGTATAGTCAGCCATTATCTCAGAGCAAGCCGTTGATAGAAGACCTGTTGAGCACGTTCATTGTAGAAACCAGGGGTGGTTCAACAAAGATGAGGCTAGACTTGATAATATCGAGACTCATTGCACAAATATGAGCGCTACTATGAAGACTATGGAGACACAGATTGGCCAACTCGCCGACTCAATGAAGAGCCTATCATCCGGGAGCTTTCCTAGTGACACTGTGAAAAACCCCAAGGAGCAATGTAACGCAGTCACCTTGAGAAGTGAGAAAGAAGTTGAGGCTCTTAAGCCCCAAGAGGATAAAACTAAGGAAAAAGAGGTAGAATCAAAGCAACCAAAGGAGAGTGCAAGGCCTAAGTCGATCTCTTTTCTGGATAATCCTCCTCTCATCACTCCTACCCTTCCATATCCACAAAGATTCAAGAAGAAGAATATGGATGCTCAATTTTCAAAGTTTTTAGAGATTTTCAAGAAGATCCATATCAACATTCCGTTTGCGGATGCACTTGAACAAATGCCTAATTATATCAAGTTTATGAAGGATGTCATGGCAAAAAAGCGGAGGTTGGAGGATTATGAGACCGTCAAGCTAACGGAAGAGTGTAGCGCTATCCTTCAAAGGAAATTGCCTCAAAAGTTGAAGGATCCTGGGAGTTTCACTATTCTGTGTACTATTGGAGATTCTCACTTTGAGAAGGCCTTGTGTGATCTTGGAGCTAGCATCAACCTCATGCCTCTATCGATTTTCTAGAAACTAGGGCCTGGAGAGGTCACCCCTACAACCATCTCCCTGCAAATGGTGGATAGGTCCATTACCTACCCATGGGGAATCATTGAAGATGTATTGGTAAAGGTGGATAAGTTCATCTTCCCGGTTGATTTTGTAGTTTTGGACATGGAACAGGATTGGGATATCCCCATTATCCTCGGGAGGCCTTTCCTAGCTACCGGAAGGGCTTTAATAGATGTGCACAGTGGGAACCATAAAATAAGGGTCAATGAGGAGAAAGCCATATTCAACATCTTAAATCCCAAGAGGTCTCCACAAGAAAAGCCGACTTGTGACCGAGTGGAGGAAGTGAAATCTTTTATCAAGTTCACTCAAGAAGTTGTGCCGAAAGATTCTTTGGGGAATGGCCCCACCAATTCCCTAACCAAAAACAAATCGAGCAATGAACATTGTCCTAAGAAAGATGAAGCGGGGGAGTATGTTGTTAACAGGGTCGAAGCCATTGCCACCCCGATGAACAATGAAAAGGTGGTGGCCAAGAAGAAAGCCAAGAAGAAGCACGACCAGCGAACCTCGTGGCAAGATCTCACTCCGGGCCAACGCGTCCTTCTTTTCAACTCTCAGTTGAAGCTCTCCCCCGAAAAAGAGCAGTTAAGATGGTTTGGGCCATTTAAGATCAAGCGAGTGTCTTCATTCGGTACCATTGAGCTAGAACCAGGAGGATGAAGTCGTGTTTATGTCCAGCTAGGGACGTTAAATCAAGCGCTTCTTGGGAGGCAACCCAAGCTTCTACCCCTTTATTTGTTTTGATTTTAGTTTAATTTTTGTTTGACTTGTTGAACATTGAGTTATTTTGTTGATGTTTGTGTTATTAGTTTTTTTTTTTTTTTTTCTAGTACAGTTTTTATAACAAGTGTTGATAAATATATATATATATATATATATATTTGTAGTGGATTGCAGGTCATTGGAGGTTAGAAAATTTCCAGAGACTAAATTTCCAGAGGCCAAATTTCCAGGGGCAAGTGTTGATTCAGTTATGTGACAGGATGGACCGTGACCAGCGCGCCTAAGCACGTTCATGATCGTGCTGCAGCGCATGTCATCCAGAAATGGATTCCCAGATTCACGCATCGCGTGCCTAAGCGCACAGGTCTCATGCGCTACAACGCACTTATCATAGGATGATATACGCAGCCAACATCGGGAGATGCGATATGATGCCGGTCAAGAGGCGATACATCGCCTGAAGAGGTTTAAAAAAAAAAAAGACTCAGGCTACAACGCGCATTCATGCGCTGTAGCGTGCATCTCCAAGGATTCCCAGTTCCAAGAGGCGCGCCGCAGCGTGAAAAAGACCGTGCCTAAGCGCACATTGGCCAGCAACATTTCCAGCTCCGCTCTTTGCGCGCTGGAGCGCGAAGAAGACCACGCTGCAGCGCGTGTCCGTACTGCAGCCGACTTATGAACTTCATAGCGAAAGCCCTAGCCCCATTTCTGCCTCTTTCCAAAAATTTTCAGCCACCACCCGACTTTTCTCAGCCAAAATCCTCTCAAATCCTCCGAAGCTCTCACTCTTCACCTTAAATCACCCAATACTTTCACTTTGGCAGCGAATCTAGTGAAGATCTTGATGTTTTTCGTCTGAATTTTTCTCAAATCTTCAAGGCATCAAGTAAGTGGTTTTTTCCTGCGTTTTTCCTAAGATTTCAATTTGTCTGGGCCTTGAACTCTCTAGGGAGTTCGAGCACTTGTGAAACTTACGTTTCTGAGCACGGAAAACACTAGATTTTTAGGGGAAACTCTGCTGAATTTTTCAAAAAACTATTGTGTATTGGAGATTTGTTTTTTTTTTGGAGCTTGGGCGTTCAAAAAAGTAAAAAAAAAAAAGAGAATCGGAATTTCGAGTGAAACTAGGGGGGGTGTTTGTTTAGCAAATTTTGGGCTGCCATTTAAAAAAAAATACCGCGGAAGACAACTGCAAACCGGATTAAGTTTGGGGCAAGCTCCAGCAACCGCCCACCCGCCCCTGCCACTTTAGAACCCCCTGCCCCAGCAGTGCCTCCTCCCGATTATGATATCGTTCGGTTTGTGTCGAAGGACGCGGAGACACAATATGAACGGCACAATAAGAGTCAGGCCTGCATTCGAGAAAGGGGTTTCGACACAAGAAATGGCGAATTGCTGCCGGACATCATGAATGTTATTCGGGATAGGGGCTGGGAAAAATTTTGTTCTGAGCCTGCAGCGGGGTCCACTACTCTCGTTCGCGAATTTTTCACGAACGCGAGAAAGTGTACCAGGAACAAGACCAAGGTGAGAGGGCATGTGATTAAATTTGATGCCAAGACGATTAACAATCACTTTGGCATCCCCACCCCTAGTTCTGATCAGCAACAAGACTTGCCGGACCGAGATCCGCAGGAAATTCTGGAAGCCCTTTGCGACGGGCCTACAAAACACTGAATCCGCCTTCGAGGCTCGATATCTGGCGAACTACACCAAGGTGTGGTTCCATTTTGTATGCACTAGGCTTATTCCTTCAACTCATATCTCGAAGGTTACAAAAGATAGGGCCTTGGTCCTACTGGCAATTGAGAGGGGAGAACCCTTAAATTTGGGGGCCATAATCAACAGCGGTATTCACCATGCCCTGCGAAAACACAACATTAGCCTCCCATACCCGTCGTTGCTGACGGAGCTTTTTCTAGCCGCTGGAGTGGCCCTGCCGGATGCACATCTTGAGAAGCCCATTCGGGCTTTTGATCTCAACAGCATCATGCGGATCGCTTCCGGCCAGGCGGCCTCAGAGCAAGATGGTGGAGCAGGATCATCGCAGCCCCCACAGCCAAAGCAGAAGCGGGCAGCCACTACGTCTCGCGAGGACTTAGCAAGCCGGGTTGATCGGCATGAGGAGTAGATTGCCGATCTCCAGAGTCAGTCTGCCTTGACTAGAAAGTTGATCATTGAGTTGGCGAAACACCACACCGCTTGCTTGGCATCACTGGAGCAGGCACTGGCCTCGGTGTCGGCAGCTATTCACGTGTCCCTCATTTCCCTGAGCACATCCGGAGGACTTATTGGCCGGGCTTCCAGCAGCAACCATAGTTCAGCAATCAGCAGCAGCAACCTGACTTCCAGCCACCACCACCTCCGCATGACATGGACGAGGACCACCCTTAGGAGGCGAGAGTCATATCTCACCTCCCAGGTATTCTTCAATTACATTTTCATTGTTTGCTTCTATTTTACTAACATTGAGGACAATGTGATATGTAAGTGTGGGGGGAACTATTGGATTGCATCAATACTTGTTATTCAGTTTGTGTTGTTAGTTTGTTTAGTGAGTTATTTTTCTACTCTTGGTGATCAATGAACCAATGTTAACATTATCTCCTGATTTCCCTGAGTTTTTGTGCAATGTGTCATTTGTGAATTCTGTGTGCTTGATAATTGGTGAACATGAAACACTCTAGTTCTCGCAAGAAAAGACCTTATCACTAACCATTTAGGGGCCTAGAGGAAAATTATTCAATTAATCAAGTTCATGGTACATTAAGGATTCTAGAACTCAACTTAGGGAAACTCGAGGCGAAATCCTCGGCTAGCTAGTCAGCGCAGAAATGATTTAGGCATTCTTTTGGATTGATTGAGCCTTTCTATGCCTACCTTTTGGATTATATCCCTTCAATGTCCCCTTTGAGCCTTAGCCTGATTTTTACTTTACCCACATTTATACAACACTCACCTACTACAATAAATATCATTTTCCCTTCCCCATGACTCTAGGCATATTTAGTTGGAACCCTGGCCATCGGCAGGCACATATTGGTAATGCTGATGCGGCAAAAGAGTTTTGTGCATGCCCCTTGAGATAGCTTGCTAGGTTGATAGTCTAGTAAATTACTTGAGTTTTGGTCTACATTTGAGCTGAAGGAGCACGAAGCTTCCTCATGTGCTGCGAACCTAAGGGGTGATTTTGCTTAGGGGGAAAACTGTGTAAATGTATTTATTATTTGTATCATAAAAATTAAAAAAAAAAGAAAAAAAAAGAAAAAAAATTGTTAATTTGTTTCTATTAAGTTTTTTTCATCTTGGTGCTTGTACATGAGTGGGTATTGTGAGAATAATTCAAGTGTGGGAGTGTTAGGAACTCCAAATGTGAGCTTGAGGTCGGAAAGCTATATGCCTAGGGTTTTTGAGCCGAAAAGTCCATTTCTCAACCACCTTTAGCCCTATCCGAACATTACAAGCTTGCAAAGTCCTTTTGATCTCCAAGACTCATTGAGCCTACATTAGTGGAGAGCGGAACTAAGTTGGGCCTATGGAATCCTAAGCTTTAAGTTACTTAATTATGGATTTCTAAGTTGAATAAGTGAATCCGGGTACTGGATCGTTAAGTGTGAGGTGGGAGACTTGAGTGTTTTTGTGTACATCCAACATGTTGAAATTCTAGAACATCACAAGGGATCACCTTGCATAAAAACTTGAGATTTTAGGGGATGTTGAGGACCAAAGAATGATCATCGGGATATGTGAAACACTCACTCTTTATTTGCGTTTTGTTTTGTTTTGTTTAGTTTTGTTTGTTTTATTTTGTTTCGTTTTGTGTTAGCTTTAGATTTCTTAGCATTGCCTTTTGTGTTTTAGTTATTTTCGTTCTTTTGTTTACATTGTTTTGCTCGGGACTAGCAAAAGTTTAAGTGTGGGGGTATTTGATAAGTTGATTTTTCATCAATTTAATCCTGTCATATATTATAGTTTTTGAGCATATTTCAGTTAATTTGTCACTAGTTTTACGTTTATGTTAATTTATTTTGTAGGATTTGCAAAGTGGAGAAAATCAAGTGAAAAAGATAAAGAAGTCCATGAAAATCTCCATTTTGTGCGGGCTGCAGCGCATGAGAAGCAAGCTACAGCCTGAGACTTCCAGAGAGCATTCCAGAGAGCACTCGAGCTTCAGGCTGCAGCGCCTGCTAGCCAGCCTCGCGCGCTTAGGCGCAGTTCAAGGTGCGCTTAGG